ATTTAGTGACTGACGTGACTTATGATGGGTTTTCACACTTAACAACCATTGCAGCATCCCCATGGCTGTGTGATCAAAATTTGAGCGCTTGGCAACTGGCATGTATTTATGACAGTTGCACTCTCCTGGGTCATGTGACCGCTATTTGTAACCTTCCCATCCGGCTTCCAACAAGCAAAGTCAATGGGAGAAGTGAGATTGGCTTAACAACCACAGTGATTCACTTAACAATGGGACACAACTCACTTAACAACTGCCTTGCTTAGCAATGGAAATTCTGAGCTCCATTGTGGTCTTAATTTGAGGATTATCTGTATTTCTGCTTTACCCCTGGCTATATAAACAGGAGGCCAATGAAAATGTAAATCCTGGGTAAAAGATATTTAGGAAAACAGCAGACAAATGGCATTTTGAAATAATCACTTTTTTAAAAAATTGCAAAATACATTTGCATGGTAAGATTTAAAATTGAAAATATAAAGTACAAAATTCTACTGATTAAAAACATTTAAAGAATCCATTTAGTACATATAGACACTTTCAAAGAAGTGTTTTTCCCAATTTTTTTTTACCAACTTTTCTATATTGTGAGGACATGCATTGCATTTCCATTTCACATCACCAGTTGTTCTGGAAATAAATGTATTCACTCTGATTAGGTGTTTTTCCACAAAACCTGTTTAACAAAAGAACAGTAATTAAAATTCTCAGTTCAAATACAGATTATAAAGGTTTTTTTATTAAAAAAATCACTTCCTAAAATAGTCTACTGAGTCACATTCAAATGAACTACTCTTTTTTTTCCTTTTCATATTCAGTCAGAATACATAACTACATGCTCGATGACATTGATGCTTTGCGATTATTACCTCGGAGAGATTTTTATTATCGTATCAAGTACTATCCTAACAAGTCAGAAAGTCCTGCAATAATTTAATATTCATGCCTTCATGGCATGGGAGCAGGCTATTTGAGGGAATTGCCTCTTCCCCATCACATTTGATTAGATCTAATGATTAGATCTGGCAGAAAAGGCATGCTTTGGATACCATCAGCTGGGACCGATAGTTGGTGATTCCCAGAAGAAATTCTTTCTCTGCTGTGGTGTCCACCTTATGGCACATCCTTCACCCTGAAATTAGATTTGCTCCATCCCTTTTGACATTCCAGAAGGCCCTCCAGACCTGATTATTTAACCAGGCCTGGAGCTCCCAGGGAATCAAAGATGTACTCAGTTGGTTCCATCACTAGATGCCAATTCTTTGCCAAGGGTTTGTGTATTTTTTAATATATTTTATGTATGTTTTTATAATATTTATTTTTAATTGGGATTTTATATTTTTGTAATATATATATTTATATTTCTTGTTTTTCTACAGGTAGTCCTCAACTTAGTTCAGTTCATTTAGTGATCTTTCAAAGCTACAACAGCATTGAAAAAAGTGACTTATGACAGTTTTTCACACTTACTTCAGTGGTGAAATCTAGAATTTGTTACTACTGGTTCTGTGGGCGTGGCTTGGTGGTGGTGGGGTAATGTGACTGGGTGGGAGTGGCCAATTTTTTTTTAACTTTTAAAACCATTTTTTCTACAACCTCTTTGGCGAAGAGGTTGTAAAAAAATGCTTTCAAAAGGCTCTGATGATCCCAGCTGAGTTGCCTGATTGTCAGAGGGTTTTTTAAAAAATCCTCTGCCGATCAGGCAACTCAGCTGGGATCATCAGAGCTTGGATCGTCAGAGCCATTTAAAAGAAAAAAAGCCTCTGATGATCGCGCGGCTCAGCTGGACATGTGGGGGGGCAGGGATTTTTGCTACCAGTTCTCCTCCATCGCTACTGGATCGGGCAATCCGGTCCAAACCAGGAGCATTTCACCCTTGACTTACAGCCATGGAAGCATCACCATGGTCATGTGATCAAAATTTGGATGCTTGGCAACAGATTCAAATTTATGATGGGTGCAGTGTCCCGGGGTCATGTGAGCTTCTTACAAGCAAAGTCAATGGGGAATCTAGATTCATTTAACAACCATGCGATTCACTTAACAAGTGTGGCAAGAAAGGTTGTAAAAATGGAGCAAAATTCACATAACAAATATTTCACTTAGCAACGGAAATGTTGGGCTCAGTTGTGGTTGTAAGTCACAGACAACCTGTACTTGTTGTTTCATTGTTGTATGCCACCCAGAATTGCATTCTGTAAGATGAGTAGCTATAACAATTTGGCTAAATAAATAAATAAGCATTTAGGTGTTTATTGTGCTATATGTCCTACTTGTTATTCTTCCTTTTTGTTCTAACCAGTCATGCTTGTTCTATCACAAAAGGGTCACTGCTCATGGCTGTCTCCAAACTAGCATATTATACTTTTAGTCCAGCAAAAGGTAGGTTGTTTTGGATGTATAATTGTCAGAGTTTAGCAGTTAAACCAGTCTGGTTAATCTAGGCTACCTACATTTAGTGGAATGTGGGAAGAAGCATCATATTCACATTCTCTATTGAATGTTGAATGTTAAATATTTATGTTGGCCTGTTTATGTACAATATTGTTAAGCCTAGATTATTAATCAGAATCTGCTAAAGAAGTCATAGGTTGCCTGGTCACAGATAATACTAAAATGTGTACGTTGTACTAAGCAAAAGATGAGAAACCATTATATGATATATTTATGAACCAAGCCAATAGGTATAATCATACATGGAAGATTTCTGTGGCTGACCTCAAAAAGAATGAATGGCTTTTCAAATGGAAGATGCCCAGACCAAATAATATATTATGGTGTGCATTCTCCTATTTGAGAAAAACTAGTAAGGAAGACCTGTGTAAAATGGATTGGTTCAACAGCACAGCTCTAAGCAATTATAGGTTCCGTCCATTATGGAAGAAACAAATAAGCCCATCTTGGTTGGATCACAAAGGTAAAATTGCACTGGATGCTTCGAGAAAGGAACTGGGAGAAAAGGTTGCCTTGAGCTATTTTGATGGCTTTTGAAAGAGAACAAAAAGAATACAAAGATATTAGGAGTAAAATTGTTGGAGTGGGGAAATCCTTAGAAACCTTTTGAAAACAAAAGATTTAATAACAGGAGCATAATCACTTAGGCCAGGAGTAAACAAGAAAGCAACAACAGTGGAATCATAGCAGCTTTTCATCCTATTTGTTTCTTCGCTCAATTGTCTATACAATCTTTCTACCTGCAGAAACTATAGAAACACATGCCTTCATAAGGTTAAGGACTCTGAAAACAATGCAGTCTCAATGAATTGCCTGGAATATCTGGTATAGATAAGCTTCTTATGCTTCATTAGTTAGAGTGAGGATCCTTTGCACCTATTTTTACTGCAGAGAAATAAGAGTTTATTATAGAAAACGAAGAGTCCATAAGAAGAGCACCATAACATTGGAGCTGCAGCAATCCTAACAACCACAAAATGACATTATGAGGAGCATAAATGACATAAGAAACTTATTCTTCTAGTACATCCCCCATCTTAAGGTAGAAGAACGTATACCATCCTGGACAAATAGTTGTCAAGTCTATTTTTGAAAATCTCCAGCAATAAGAGTACCCAGAAATCCAGGAAGCAAGATGTTCCCTTGATTATTCTCACTGTCAGTCAATTTCTCCTAAATTTGGGTTGGATTTCTCTTTGACAAGTTACTTTCCTTTGGAGTTACAAGTCCTTTGGAGAATATGTCAATCCCCTCTTTTCTGTGACAGCCCCTCGAATACTGGAAGACAGCGATCATATCACCTCTAATCCTTCTTTTCATTAGGCTAGACAAACCTAGCTCCCTCAACTGTTCATCATATAATTTAGACCCCAAGCCCCTTATCATCTTTGTTGCTCTTTGCACAACTTCTAGGGCTCTCAGCATCTTTGTTGTATTGTGGTATTTCAAAGATGGCCACACTAGTCCTGTATAAAGTGGTACTATAATTTCTGCCATACAGACTTTTCTCTCTGCTGCCACCTAAGCATCAGGGGCATCCCATTCAAACCAGCTAAAGTAGTCGGTGCCATTCTTTGCTTCCCCAATAAAAGCATTTTCACAACAAGTGTCTTATTCTTTTCCTCCTTGAACACTTATTGGCTCATGTTCATGGTGAAGATAACTGAAGAGTGGCTTAAATAGCAATAGACTTTTACATTCATTTTAAAATATTGCTAAGTATTATTTTAATGTAAAAAATTTAATATATTACATAAGGTAGTGATGTATAGCATGATTATTAATTATTATCTCCCAGGACAAAGATACTATAAGGAGGGTATCTAATTCTGCAGTATCTTTGCACTTTCAAAACTATTTAGTTAGAGGTTTTAGTGGAAAGCTTGAAAAAGTCAAGGTCAGAGCAGAAAAAAAATCTTTCTGATGATTTCTGTCAAGAATTCAAGAGCAAGTAAGAAGTTTGAAACTCAGATGAATTATTCTAGCATAAAACTAAGAATTTCAGTGGCTTCTACTTCAAATCTGTCAACACGTCAAGCAATTTCCAATATTTGTAAAGAATCATTGAGGAGATTACTCATCGTATTTTATTTAGTGAGATGCAGATTCTTTCTATTGTAACAAACCGTCTGCTTCTAAACACTTGGCCCAGTGCTCCTATTTTGTGAATGCATATTAATTCAGGATTGTCTTTGGCAATGGAGAGATAGGTACCTATTGTGTGCCAGCTGCTGAATGAGAATCATTTGTATGGAAGGATGACATCCATGTGTCCAAAATTCCTGGCAATTTTCAGCTGGATAAATATTGCTGGTGGGTCTACAGCCTGCATTTCTTGTGGGATATGAGATTAACATGCTGCTGCAAGAAAGCTCACAAAGCCTGAGCAACATGCAAGGGTTGTATCTCAAAGAGTGTGATGCAGAGAGATCAATGTGTTTGCAAAGCCAGGAAAAGCAAAGGTCAGAAGATGATGATGATGATGATGATGATGATGATGATCATAATTATTTCTTGTTTTCCACCGACCTGTGCTGAATTTCAAGCAACTTGAAAATGATTGATGGACGTCCAATGCATCTGCAGCTTTTCAAGCCAAAAGACGGGCATTTCCAGCATCTGGAAGGAGACATGGTGGGAATTTTTAAATAATTTCTTTTGTTTTATTGCAAACAATTCTAAGAACTAAACTATATGCCACATTAACCGCACAGATGCAATTAGTGGGCTTTATTTTTGAAGTGTGGAAAGTGGGAGCTTGCTTAGCATTCGGAAAGATAAGAGCTCTTTCTCCTCTCAGGAAAGACCTGACAAAAATCGCTTTTCTCTCAACCCTGCTCACGGGTCTCCAAGCCAGACCCTTTCATTAACGCCAGGGGTCCCCAAGCATAGCTGGCTGGAGAATTCTGGGAGTTGAAGTCCACAAGTCTTAAAGCGGCCAAGTTTGAAGACCTCTGATTAACGCCATAGATGCCCCTTCCTTGCAAATAGCTTACAAGAATTATCCTTTGATTAAGGGGTTTTTCCTGTTCCTTTCCTTTAGAAGAGACTTCCTCTAATCCCCCCACCCCCAGAAAAACAAACCCAGCAGTATTCTTCAGAGGTGCATTGCTTTCTTATGACCATTTCAAAGCTTTCCAATGGTTCTGAAAGCCTCACATTATAAGTGAGAATATTCTTCTAATGTTCCTAAGTAATTCCCTCATGCAGATGGACATTTTTTCACTTTTTTCTCCCCTGCATCTCTTTTTACCTTGAGTCCTCCAGTCTCTTTCTAACCCTTAACTCCTCACTGTCTTTTAATTGGCTTCATAGTGAGGATAGGAGTGTGTTCCGAGCAAGCCAAAGAGGGCTTCTGAGTGACTAAATTTGATTCATTTCTATGCAAGGTGTATCTCCTTGTCACTCTCTCTGCCAATTGTGGTTGACATTTTCTGCCAGAGAAAGAAGATTAAATGCAGAGGAGGCAGGAACCAGCTTTTTCTGCCATTGCCCCTGTATTTTGCATGCTGGGGCAACAATATTTTAAAATAGAGGGCTAACATTTCAAGATGTTTCTCATTTATTATATTCCTCCTGCCATCCAGACCTGTTCACAGCATATACTTTGTAGTAATTCTCTTATCATAGCCGAGCCAAAATACAGACACTCATTGATAATTCTGATGATATATTATTCTAAGTCAAGCCTTGGGCAATTGCAGATTAACTGAGTGACAATTTGACAGTCTTGCCAAATACGCACAACATTCTCAAAGAGCCAGAATGCCCTATGCAGCAGATGGAAAATGGAATAATTCTAGCCTTCTGAAACAGCAAAATCTACAAATGAGAGCATTTCACGTATATTGCAGTTGCATTACCTGTACTACTGATTTGGGTAAAGATAAGGTTTAGCTTTTCCTGCTTGAAAGATTGTGGTGTCGAACATCTGTAACCCAAGGTTCAGGATCCATAAGGAAGCTGTACTTTAAACCTAATCCCAGAGCTCCAATCAGCATAGCGGAACTAAACTGATTTTATTTCTAATTTAACATAATTGCATTTGTATAGGAGGATTTAGGCACAGGGAAATTATAGGTCACATCTGTGTCAGCTGTTTACCTGTGGTGTTGATTTGAAGCACCTGTAAGATGCACCTGGCTTGAAAAATCTGTGCCAGCCTTCCAGACTTGTATGGCCGTGTTATTGTAACACCATACTAAACTAAGGAAAAGAATTTTTTCTCAATAACTACCTGCCAAAGTGCAATATTTCTGTAAAAATTAACCATTCTGATTATTCTTTTTATTTTCATCCTGTTTTCAACAGGTGATTTGCCACCCTTTGCTTGTCACTCTGCCACTCTGAGTGGAATTTTGGCAGCATTGACTGTTTTGGTGTACAGAGGAGGGTGAAATCTGTTTTTTAGTTCTCGGATTCATTTAGTTTTTTTCACTACCTCAGAATACCGGAGATTTGCCAAATTTTAGAAATCCACATCTGAAGCATGTATATCTGTGTCACTCTTGATTTTTAAATTTACTACCACATAACATGTGGAAATTTTGGAGGGACACGGAACACCGCAGAGGGAGTTTGTCTCCGACCATAATCATGGCTAACAAGGTAATATCCGTAATACGAGTAAGATCATGTGCAAGTTCTTATCCCAGCATTTGCCTCTTTGCAATTCTTCAGGGCACAGTTGTAAAAGGCAGGATGCCTGCATTCATTTAAAGACCATTAGCTCTTCTTCATTTCTGTCAGCACCCACCAGGTAAACCAGAGCAAGAAATACACAGGAGGGCTAAAAGTGATATTGGCTGTAAAAACAGAATCTCACAAATCTGAAAATGCTCTGCCTCCTTCTGCTGTTTACAGTTCATTGAATTAGACAGGTTTCTGTCTAAGCCTCTTCCAAATCTTATCCTGCTCCTGTAACTTGAAATATGTTTTATTCCCCTCATTGCTCCTGCGTATCTCCATCAAGGTCATCTTCCTAACACTGTACAATTTCCATCTATAGCAACTTAGGCATAGTGATGTTCTGTTCCCTAATTTGGAAAATGATTTTCTTTTATGTACCCTTATTTGTTCAGGAGGGTCCATTGAACCTTTGGAAAGATTTTTAGATAGGAGGCTGAAAGAAAGAGGAGAATGACAAGAAAACTTTCTGCAAAAATGGGACTTCTCTCTCTCTCTCTCTCTCTCTCTGTAGTGCTGGATCCCACTCTTTGCTTCTTCCTGTATGTATCAATTTCCTTCCATTTTTGATTTTCAGTAATAAACAGTTCTAAATTTTATTTCTAATGTGGCTTGCTAATGCATTCCTTTTTCCTTCTTGTCCAATAAGTCAGCACAGATACATCCTTTCCCTTAATTTCATACTCTTTTCTCACTCTTTTTTTTATAATCCTCCTTTCAGACTATCTAAACAGCATCTTAATTTGTTGTCATCATGCATGCCACTTCATTAGCTATCTCTGGACAAGCTGATACCTGTCAGGAAATATCTTCCAAATGGTGGCACATCTCTTCCTGTTGATGTTATTCAGTGACAAATCTGACCATACTTGCTCAACAGCAGAACTCTTATTTTTTTTATGTGTGCATGAAGTAGCCAGAAACATTTCGGCAAACTGCCATAAGATAGATAAACTGCACAGTATGATCTATTAACAGTCTTGAAAAAGGAATATAAGTACTGCAGTTATTCATTCCATTAAAAAGTCCCTGTTCTAGATGTGAAAATGCCTTGAAAAACTGGACCAAGGATGTTTGCTGGGCTGAAAACTCTGCTTTTCTGTGTGAATTGGCAATTAAGTGTTGGCAATGAAACAACTGCATTTCCTGTAAGACATTGTCACTATGAAGCTAACAAGAGGCAATTATAATTATAAGGTAATTTGCACTCAGTTAAAAACCTAGTGGTAAGCCACAGGGCTCTATTATAAAGAAATTGATTATATAATATCAGTGCACAAATAAAATAGATTTCTTTTAAAAGATTAACAGTATAAGTAATCTTTAACTGGGCTTATCCTCAGGTGCATTTAAAAATGCATTTTTACTTTTTTTTTATTTTTCCAGAAATAAAATACAAATACAAAATTTGTAAATTTTTGGCTTAGGCCCAGGATATCTGTCGGAGCACCTGCAACCAACATCGACTTCCCATCGCCCGGTGCATTCCCACAGAGAGGGTCTACTCAGGGTGCCGTCGGCTAGACAATGTCGGCTGGTGACCCCCAGGAGTAGAGCCTTCTCTGTGGCCATGCCCACCCTTTGGAATCAGCTTCCTGTGGGTCTTCAGCTGGCCCCCGACCTTCGTACCTTCCGCCGTGAGCTTAAGACCTGGCTGTTTAAACGCCCTAGCCAGAACTGATGGGATCTACTGTTTTAAATTGGTTTTTAGTCTGTTTTAGTCTGTTTTAATTTGTATTTATTGGGATTGTTTCGTTTGATGTAAGCCACCCTGAGTCCTTCGGAGAGAGGGCAGCATATAAATCCAATAAATAATAATAATAATAATAATAATAATAATAATAATAATAATAATAATATTAAAAAAAGAACCGGCAAAAAGAAAGAAAGAAAACAAAAGCAAATATAAAATTAATAATAAACATATGGCCTCCATCCTAGTTGGATGCTGTGTCTCACATAATCTAATAGGTTTGCTCCTTTGCATCGCGGGTCTACAAATAGTTATACATTTTTCATCTATGCTTACTAAATTATTATTTTACATCACATTCTTTTGACAAATATCTCAAACATACAAATCTATTGTCTACCAATCAAATCGACCCAATAGCTGTTCATTGTAAAAAAAAAAGTGTTAATTGTTATCCCAAAAAAATATATTGAAGGTAAATGCATTTTTGATTGCAACTTATCAATGTGATACAGGACCCATTTCAGCACATGGATATATTGCATCTTAGCAGGGTTACCTTATATCTGGTATCTGAAGAAACCATGATTGGCTGGTTTCTCAAAACACATTGAATCACAAACCTGCTTTGCAACCTGCAACAACTGGGTTCATATAACATTTAAACTAAGGGGCGGACAAGTCATTTCTGTTCTGAGGGCTGCAATTGACTTTGAAATGGGTGTGTGAATTGCCCTTCAAAAATTTGGCAGGGAGGGACTAAATATAACATCATTTATATGGAATTAAAAATAAATATACTTAATATGATTGCTTTCCAATCTAATGTGTATCTAATATTTGGTAATCATTTGCTCCCTTTAAGCCAGAATCATGTACGTGACATCTTTGTGCACTTTGCGCACTGAGGGAACCAATGACTGAGTTAAAGAAACTTATACTACAGCCCATTACGTTGCACCTTAAGCACAGAATCTGAGATGCAAAAACAGTATTTCTTAAAGATGGATTTGAAAGGTGGAACATTAGAATTGGAAATACAGTACTGATTGGGGATGTTAAAAAAACCACCACATTCCTCCAATATCATTATTTGATACAAATTTCTCCCTAGAAATATCTCTTGCTATTCAGAGGCTGTTGAACTACAGCTCTCTGGTTGGAGATATTGGAAGCTGCACCTTATCAATATCTGGAGGGTGTAGATTTCCATTCCCGCTGTAACTATTATACAAATGCTATCTTTGGTAGGAAGGAGCACATTCAAGGATAGAAAATGGTTTTCAGTACAAAAAATCTGCACAGGTGGCCATTTTTGTAAAAAGTGCCTTGTGAACTGCATGAGTCTAAAGGAGGAGAAAGACAGAAATTGTTGGCCAAAAGAGACAGTTTCAGATGATGCTTTTGCAGGCTTGGGAAAGTTGCTAAGGCATCACTAATCCCAGAAAACAGTTCATTACAGATTTTCCAGTTTCCCTGCCTTAGGGATGGCTCCTGTGCCTGAATATTTCATATCTGTCTTAAATATTACAGCCTTCGCTGTAATATTTGTATTACAGCAAAGGCTGTAAATTATTAGTACCTCTGCACTAATAATTAAAGAAGAAAACAGACAAATCATCACCACCATCACTCCCAAAAAAGCCCTTTGGTTTCCCAAATTTCATTTTTTCTGGTTCAATCCAGTTGAATTGGATTATTTTCTAAACACTGAATTGTGCCTCTAATCTGGCTATTGTTTTGTTATATATTGTACCATTCTTTGTCTTCCTGATCTCTCTAATCAAATCAACAAATTAAAGTTCAGACTGAACTTACTTTCTTAACATTCCTTAGCTTTGAATTAATATGATAATCCATTGAATCAAGATTACCTACTGTATTTGGCAGATGGTTTTTTTAATTGTGCATTTTCTTGGCTCATCAGGGATTTTCCAATCCACTTTAAGTGTCAGTTTATGCAGGGATGTACAACATAATTGTAGAACTAAAGCAAGATGAGAATGAAGGAAAATGCAAAGGTGCAATCAAAATGGAAGCGACAGGCAAGAAATGAAAGCAATCTTGAAAATAGTGCAGATGCAGGAGTATCAATCTGGAACAATTGACAGAATGTAACAGGACAGGATGATCTGGCTTGCAATAATAGGCTCATATCCTTTTCCAGTAAGTATTGATCTTTCTTGGTTAATGAGAGTTTTCTGTCTGTTGAAGGGTAGCAGGTAGAAAACTTAGACAATTCTCCCAGTAGTTTTTTTTATAAGAGATCTTCTCCTCAGAATGAATAGCACCAAATCTGGGTTCCAAGGTAGAGGAATCCTATCTCAGAATTAGATCAGTTACTAGAAGCTTTTCAGTAGTTACTCAAGGTTTCACTTTCCCAATGGATTGGACCCTAGGCAAAAGTATAGATGTGTGTTGACAAAAACATCTGTCCTCTTCATATTCCTTACTAGATGCTCTGTAGCAATGTTTCTCAATCTTTTGCAACAAATGCATAATGTGTTAACTTCAACTCCCAGAATTCCCCAACTAGTATGCCAGAGTTCTTGGAGTTGAAATCCACACATCTTAAAGTGCCCTGTGTACTGCACGAATTCACTCATGCCAAGATTGACGAACTCTACTCTGAACTAAGGACATATCTACATTCTTTATTTGGTGTGGAAACGTAGTATGTCTCATTGATAAGTTTTGCCTACCTAGGTGGCTTTTTTACCTTTTCTTATTTCTTACTCAGTATTGATTAATACTGTTCTGTGGATCTTAGCCTGGCATTGATTAAGCTAATCCAAGTGGATCACCACTTAAATCTGAGCCTTCAATGTGCTGCAGCTGCCAAAAAAAAGCCAATGCAATCCTAGGCTGCATCAACAGTGAAACAGCATCAAGAACATGAAAAGTGATACCTCTTTATACTGCAATAGTGAGGCCACACTTGGAATACTGCATACAGTTCTAGTCACCACGATACAAAAATATGCTGAGACCCCACAAAATGCAAGAGCAGCAAAGTTGATAAGGTGTCTGGAGGCTAAACCATATCATGAATGGTTGAGAGAACTAGGCACCAGGCTGGAAAGGAGGGAAACTGTTAAGCCGCCTGCTCGTAGAGCCATAGTGGGGCTGGCTGAGGAATTCTAGGACTCGGAAATCCACAAGTGTTAAAGTTGCCAAGTTTGGAGCCCCCTTCTCTAGACCATGTTTATCCTGTTTTGGATGTAGACTCCTAAGAGGTGGTTCACAGATGGTAGGAGGACATTTCAGAATATGGTACGGAGTATTTTTATTGTTTAAATTGGATTCTGCTCTAAAAAGCTGCTTTTTTTGTGAGGAATAAATACATTGTGGAATGTATATGTATGAGATACACACATACACAATAACAGTTTCTCTATTAAGAACCATATTTGAATGCATTAATTATATAAGTAAGCAGTAGAAAATGAATAACAGTGTCTGTGCAGATGTTGGGAGGAGCCAGAGTTTCAAATTTCTTTCTTCTATTAATTGCAGTCTGTGTGATAAAACCAGGACATGGCGATTTTAGGACTAAGATTTATTCATGAAAATAAATACATAATTGCTTCTGAAACATGTTTTCTTCCCCAGGGCAAAGGATGACATCAAACATTTAAGAGCTCACAGATTTAGAAAATAAGGGAGGCATAATTTTAGGGATAATTATTTACAAGCATGTTCCATGCCAATGCAATGGTAAAAAAAAATAAGTTTTATTTGTGAGAAATGCAATGCAATAATATTTTGTGAAAATATGATTTAGATTTTAAAGCAGAAAAAAAAACCACCCCAGTCCAACAATGTGATGGGCTTACTCAGCACATCACCTAGCTTCCCAGATTTTCCATTACGCAGTTTGACTCTTTGTTTAGATCTCCTGCTTGCTCTCTGTTTAATCTCAACCCTGTAACAATTCGGAAGATTGCAGATCTTGAGAACCACAGTATATATACATGGTTTCATGTATTTTCCCTTAATCTAAAGCAGGGTCCTTTCTCATCCCTTGCAAGCCGAGATGAAAAATGGGCAAGAGAAACTGGACAGAATGCATTCTCCTATCAGTTGTATAGCAATGGATTAAAAAAGGGGAGTCTCTCTCGTTGTGCCCGGAAACTGTTGGACAAATGATAGCCGACATTGCAGAGAAGCGCTTGTCTAAATGAACTAGAAGTCTGTTGCAGTATAAATAGAGGTTCTCTAAGCATTCTTAAATCACATCACATCTTTTATATTAAAAATCTGAGACCAATGCCCTCTCGGTTACTAGGCAGCAGCTTTTTCCATAATCAACCCAAGATGTTTTCAGGTGTGCTTGTCTTCCTTTTCACAAACCACTACAGATTAATCATTAGAAGATATTAATGCAGCCGCCTGGAACTTTGTTCTTATTGAAGTTAATGGCATTTCCTGTCTTGCCAATTAATCATAGCGAAAAATGTAACCACCAGAAGAATGCAAGGCTAAGAGAAAAATAAAACACAGATTTCCAAAGAAAATAATTCCCAGATTATGCATGTACACATCTCATTATCAAAGCCAAGAGTTTTTCCAATTAGATTATGATGGTGGCATAATTAGGGCATTATGTTTAATCTATGTACTATACTAGTGAGCCTTTTACATGATAGCATAATTGCTTAAATTGAGTGAGAACTGTGTTTACTCAGATGCATTTCTGCTAAATCCTACCGGTACTATATTTTTCATCTTTCAAAAACTGGTTGAAAAACTACTGAATATTTTAGAAAATTGAGAAATATTATGTGTTTATGCAAGTAAGTAATCCAAACAAATACAGAAAACAGCCAGCCAACATTAGGTAAAATCTGTATACTATGAATATATTTGAAAGGCATTTCATTATGTGACACTTTGCTTAGGTTTTTTTTTTTAAAAAAAGTAGAGTATAATGTGGAAATCTTGCATATGCTTTTAAAAATACCAAGTCTCATTTCACCATTAAACTGTTTCAATCTTGAATAATTCAAGAATGATTCCATTACTTGCAATTTTTTCTTTCAGTGCCATATTTCTGCAAGGTGGCTCTATCTCCACCTTATGGCCATTAGTAACCTCTTCAATCATTTCTCTACAGACAGCTTAGAATACTTGTGGAATAGGACTGCCCTCTTTAGTCTAACTAAGATGGTGCAGTATCAACATATCTACAATACAAAGCAGGAAAAGAGCAAAGGGTTTGTTTTCCAGATGTGTTTACTAGTCCAAAAATGTTCATTTCAGGTGAACAACTATTTTTTGAACAATCATCATCATCAGGGTACATCCTGCATTTTATTTTCCTCTAACTTTACTTACATTTTTCTTAATTCTTCATAACCATTCAATTTAGAGGTGAATTTGTATGTGTGCGTCTGCCATTAGCATATTCCATTTGTCCAATGAATTCTATGGAGACTACAAAAGTCTTTGCTGTCATAAATTTAAGTCTATATAAAGATCAAATGTTAATGCAAACTGATGCATTATAGGTGACTTGCTAACTTCTGACATCAAAAACTGCCATTAGAGGTTGACTGAATAAACTACACTTAGCTGGACTTTAAAAAAGTAACAACCAAATGTGTAATTTGCTAAGTCACTAATGAACTGAGTTTTAGGCTGTATTAAACCAATCATTGTCAAAAATATGCACTGTTTTCTCAGCATTTTTCAGATTCCTATTATTATTTGTTTTGTACTGAAGTACAAATTTGTACTGAAATACTATTATGTATTTTTTTAGGTGTTAAGACTATGGAAATCTGAAAGAAATAGAGCTGAACGATATTATGAAGAGAAACACAGAATGGATATGTACAAATACGTATTTTATTTGCAGCACTGAACTATTAATCATGTTAAAAACAAGAAGGGAATGTATTTGGTAAAACACACTTTATTCAAACAATGTATCATAAGTTTTCATGTCCTTGACTTTGAGGGATATAAAATGAGACCAAGAGTTAAATTACCATCAGTATAAATGATTTGGTCCTAAATTTTATATTTTATAAATGATATTTTATATCATTACATAATAAACAAATGGTAACAAATCAACTCCCTATTTCTACTTGGAACATTCTAATCTTACTTCTAGAGGCATGTGGACCCTGCACTAGGTTAACAGGCATTTATGATGACTTGTAAAATACTACATATTGCCTGATTACTTCTGGGCATTTAAAATTTTATGTTTATTTATGCATGTGATTTGCTACATTTGAAATGAAGCATAAATGGATGACAAAATTATGCTATCAACAACACTTGTCACACCTTGATGGCATTTACCCATTACAAATAATTCAGGAACCTCTTGATTATTTAGCTTTAATAAAAAGGTTAACGGTGAATCCTGAAGGTAATTTTAGTAGAGATTATTTTGCAAGTAGTTGGCAGGTATGTCTTGACACACAGCAGTTTTGGGTTTGTTTGTTTGTTTGTTTTTGAAGAGTCTACATGTAACAATTTTGTGGTTTCAGTCTAGCCAGATGGAAAAACTTTCAAAAGCTTTACATCATCCACTGGGCGATCTTGCGCATTCGTTTCCACCATACCCACTCTGTTGACTATCCCAATTCCCTGGCAAACACGACCAAAGATAGTGTGCTTGCCATCAAGCCACTGGGTTGGTGCTAGTGTAATAAAGAACTGGCTTCCGTTTGTATCTGGACCTGCATTTGCCATAGCAAGGATTCCTGCACCTTAAGGAGGAAAAAATATTACTAGTTTATAATTTTTAAGTTATCTGTATGAAACATGCAAACAAAACAAATGGTAGCACCCTGCTGGATCTTTATGGCATATCACTCCGTCACTGGTATCAAAATTCATAGTCAAATCAATAGAATTTTTTTACTGAGATTATAGGACTGCTCATGCATTCCAGATGGCTTTTACACTTATATCAACCATTAACATACGGATTTAAGCTCAGGAGATGTTAAGGAGACATTAGTACCTAAATGGATATCTTTCTGTGAGCTACTGTGACCAGGAAAAGGCACAATTTTATTAAGATGCCACTGAAAGGTACAACATATATGTCTATCTGGATCTGAAGTACATTTCCCACTTCTTACTTAGATACCTGCGCATCTCTATTGACTAATACCTGACATCCACAAGCCTTTGTAATACTAGATGTTTTTCACAGCACTTTCTGGAATGTGCTATGTGTCATTTCCATCACTTTTAGGGTATCTCTGTAACTAAAAAATTTCTGGTGTCATCCCCTAAAAACCTAGACTTAAAAGATGAAAAGATTTTTATCAGTCATCTGGTCCATGAACCATTGGGACTAAGTTTTTCACAATACTGAATTATGCTTAAAGGGATATAACTTCTTCCCTTGCTTCCAATGATGAAGAGGTAGGAGGGGGGCACTGCATTTCTACAGTGGCAGGGAAAGGCTGAGCGGGTCATTACTCACAGCAAATGACAACTGTTCAATCTTGGTCAGAATTTAACAGGATCAAATTGGTATTTAGATGAGTTGGACCTGATTACATTAGCACTTTGATGAAAACTCTTGGCTGTGATCTAGACTGGGAAATTGAAAAAAAAAACCCAGAAGACATTCATAAACTACTTTTGTAATTTGACATTGAGTTAGTTCAAGTCAAGCAAAATAAAAACACCTTTAAAAACTAAACAAATAATTTTAAGAGAAATTATAACAAAAATCTATTAATTTGATTTGAGCACAATCACTATAAATTTGGCCACCAATAACTAATTGGGGGGATAATAATGTCAGATGTGCCTTTAAAGTACAATTTTACGAAATTGATTTGACTTCAGATATGAAGCATTTTATCTAGGTCAGGGGTGTCAAACTCACGTCGTCATGGCGCTGTCACATGATGTATCAGGACTTTCTCCCCCTTCGTTAAACCGGGCAGGGCCGTGGCCAGCATGTGCTTCATCCGGCCTGTGGGCTGGGAGTTTGACATCCCTGATCTAGAGCATATAGATCAGTGGTGAAATTAAAAATTTTTCCTTACCAGTTCTGTGGGCATGGCTTGGTTGGGGGGGGGATGGTGTAAGCCGGTGACTGAGTGGGCATGGCCAACTCAACGTCACTCACAACCATGCCCATTCAGTCACATGGACACCCCCCACCACCAAGCCATGCCCACAGAACCCGATAGGAAAAAAAAATTAATTTCTATTCTGCCTTTTCCCTTGTCTTAAGATGGCTGCAGCTGCAGCCTCTTTTTTTCGGTGTGCCTGGAGGCGCTTCCTGCGCCAAAAGATACAATGGCTGCAGGCTTCTTGCAAACGAAAGTTACTGCGGAGCCGTTCCCCTTCTTGAATGCGTCACCATCACTGTCCTGTTCCATGTGCTGGCCGTGCATGTGCACATCCAACCTGCCGCTGATGAACAATGAATAAATGGTGTGCACGTGCGCGGCCAGCATATGGAACAGGGCGGTAATGGCAACGGCACGTTCAAGAAGGGGAGTGGCTCCAGTAACTTTCACTTGCAAGGAGCCTGCAGCTGCTGCATCTTTCGGTGCAAGAACCGCCTCCAGGTACACCCAAAAAAAAAAAAAAAAGGAGCCTAGCAGCCGGAAACGCTGAGCTGGGAGGGGTGAGCGAGCTGGAAGAGGTGAGTGGTGACTGGGTGATCGGGCAGGTGTGAGCAACTAGGGGTGATTATTACCGGTTCGGCGAACCGATGCCAATCATCCCTAGCGGTTCGCCTGATCCAGTCCGAACCAGTCAGATTTCACCCCGATATAAATCCTTTTAAACAATTACCTACCTGTAAACTTCAGTTCTGGGTGGAGTTCATCTTCAAACTGCTTGCCATAGATAGATGCTCCTCCTCTTCCTATCACAATAATAAGACTAAATTAATTTGGAAAGCCAACATAGAAAATGCTTCCTGAAAATTTGTGTTTCTAGGATACCTAGATTTAATGAGACTGGAGGAATTTAGGGAAAAGTTGAAATGGACAAACTGTGGCCATCGTAATATCACATTTATCTTATACATTAGATTTTATCAGCATTTATTAACACCACATCTAATAAATGTATTTTGAATGTGTTCTTACCAGTTCCTGTTGGATCACCTCCCTGGATCATGAAATCTTTGATTATCCTATGAAACTTGGTGCCATTGTAATAGCCTCGTCTGGAGAGCTCAGCAAAATTTTTGCAAGTTTTGGGTGCGTGCTTCCAGTATAGCTCCAAAACCATGAGCCCCATGCTGTGAAATAGAATTTTCATGCTTATTTAATAAAATATTAAGATGAAAAAGTACAACATGATATAATATGGCACCTTCATATTTCAAATTTGAAGCAGCAGAATAGAAAAGCTCCTGATGCTTTTGAACTTTGGTATTGGAGAAGAGTCCTGAGAATCCCATGGATAGCCAAGAAAACAAATAAATGCATGATCCAGAGTTCTTACTCAGGGCGCTCATTATCCTATTCAGACCAGTGGTGGGTTTCAAAATTTTTTACTACTGGTTCTGTGGGCATGGCTTGGTAGGCGTGGCTTGGTGGGCGTGGCAGGGGAAGTATACTGTAAAATCTCCATTCCCTCCCCAATCCAGGGGAAGGTTACTGCAAAATCCCCATTTCCTCCAGATCATATGGGACTTGGGAGGCAGAGAATAGATGGGGGTGGGGCCAGTCAGAATTTTTACTACCGGTTCTCCAAACTACTCAAAATTTCCGCTACTGGTTCCCCAGAACTGGTCAGAACCTGCTGAAACCCACCTCTGATTCAGACATATTATGCGAAGAGTTAACTCACTGGTTGTAATAATAGGAAAGATAGCAAGTAAACAATAGGATAACCAGCAGTAAGGAGGATGGACTCAATTACAGTGGTGATGAGTGCATCTCTGGAAGCCCATTGGGGACAGATCGTCGTGGGCAAAATTTATCTTTTAAGACAGGGGTGGGCAACTGTGGCCCTTTTACAACCTGTGGTCTTCAACTCCCAGAATTCCTCAGTCAGAAATTCTGGGATATCAGCACCTCTCAACTCTTTCCAAAAACAGCTTTTAGGAAACTTAACCGGAATCGGTCTATCAGACTGCAATGGTTCCCAGCAGAAGTTTTCCACGAGCTTTTCTTTAGTTCGTGCTAAAACCAAACCTGGAACCTTCCCTCTGTCGTGCTACCCAACCCTTCTTCACACCTACGTGGTTTCCATTGAAACAGTCGGCGGTTGCCAAGTGTCCGGAGGCACGGCAGCCATGCTTCCTTCGTCTGCCGCTGGGGGAATCAAATTCCCGCGCCACACTTCCGGTACCACCGACTAAGTCGTCCCCCTCGCAAGAGAAAGCCGAAAAGGGGGGCGTTGCCGATGGGAGTCCCGCGTGCCTCGGGCCAATCGCCATAAAGGAAGGCCGAACTCTATTGTGACGGAGTCAAAAGGGGGAAAATTCGAATTTGCTTTTGCCTCTCTCTCTCTCTTTTTTTTTGGCTGTTTGTAGCAGCGGAGGAGCTTTGCGGTGAGAAAGTGGGGGAGATGGTAACGCTGGAGGCGGGGATGGCTTGCATGTTCCATGGAGGGATGGGTAGGTTTTTCGCACGGAGGGGGCCAAAATGAAGCCGCACTTCATTTAGGTGAGGATTTAGGTGAGGTTAAGAACGAAACGAGAGCGTGCAAAACATTTGAATGGAGACTCGATTTGCACCTGGCTCCTGTTTGCAAATTAAGCACCCGTCTTTAGCTCCTTTACTCAGGAGCTAAAACTTGCAATGCTGAACATATCGGGGAATCGACCCGCTCGCTTCCCTGAGCAGAGTGAGATTTTCCTCCAAGCAAAGTAAAACTGCCTCCTGCCTGCCTGCCTTCCTCCCCGCTAGGGTTGCCCTTGATTCTTGTAAGCTGTTTTGTTTTCTTTTTAACGGGTAAGGCAAAGGAGGTCTTAAGTTTCTTCTAAGAAGCATACGCCCATTGCTCAAAATGACGGCAATTTAGTTACTATAGTCAGAGGATGGTCAGACTCAAAAAAGGACTTCACTCCCAATCTTGGGATACACGAAAAAGCGTAACAAGTCAAACGGACATGGATATAGATTATAGATGGCTTCGTTCTTGCCTGAAATAAACTGTGGCCAGGGCTACAGATGTTTGGAAGCTCACTGGTCCTGCCGAGTTCAATCCTGGTGATACAAAAGCTGCTCCGAGGTGGCATTACGCTCAACACCGTTATTGTCTCAGTGTCCTTTTGAATAATCAGAGTAAAGAACGTTGATTCTTATCCCTAAATTGAGGAGAAAAGCTGCATAATTTTCATTTGGATTGGATGGTTGAATTGGATTGCTTGTTGAAGTTGCAACACTCTAAGCACAGCATTCCAAAGTCTTTTGATTCAAAGTTCTTGGGTCCCACTTTCTGCCTGCATTTGTTAGATACTGTTTTAATAATGTAATGAAACTACTCTGCAATTTGTAACAATTTTAAGAGCAGGAAGTTTCTAACAGATTTAATGTAACCACATCCATCCATAAATACCCATTCAAAGCACAGAATAAGAATTAGTAAGCAAAAAAAAAAAAGGCAAGAGAGAAAGTAAAAGATAGTGTAACTAAATTAGTTTATATCAACAACATTTTATTCTCCACACTTCTATCCCTGCAAAGTGTTCTTGCCTATGCAGTGCTTTTTGTTCTTAAATTTCATCCCTCTCTTTTTGAGGATTTCATCTATTCCATCCAACCTCTTGGTCTTCTCTTCCATTTAACCCACTTGCTTTTCCCTTACTGCATATATTTTCTCTGTAGTTCAGTCTTCATTATATCACAAAATCACTCCAGTATATTTTGTACAATTCATTTAATATTTGCTGAAACTCATTGGTGTTTTCAGTCAATAACACACAGGAGCTACATACAAAAATACACAGCCATTTCTATTCATAATCAATCTGTCTCTAATATTGCCACAAGTATTATTTATACATATATTCAAGTACATTAAATAACCAAAAGGAACTTATTCCCTGCTCATTAGGGAACAGTTTGCTAAGCATTCTGTTCATTCTCACATTTTATTTCCACATAACTCTTAACATATTCAGCAACCATCTTTCAATTCCATTTCCACAAAAAATGATCCACTGTGTCAGGCAATTTGCTTCATTGTGTACTTACTCATATTAACAACTCTACAATAAATAATCTTCCTTACATTCATACATTTCTCACTGAATTGCTGAAAAGTAAGATCTAATCTGTGCAACCCCTGCCTTGTGTAAAGCTGCCCTGCACTTCTCAGATTCTGCATGCTGACATAATAACTTCTATCCTTTCAAGGAGAATTCTGCCAAGCACTTTTCCAGGCATACTTAATAAATTAAACTCCCTGTAGTTATGTATTCACTCTTATTACCTTTCACTTTCATTCTTTCAAAGATAGGCACAGATGCAGGTCTTTTACATACAAATGAACAAGTAGCACAGTCACTTCATAAACAAACCACACCCATAGTTTAACTTTTATACGTTTTTCAACATTCTCATAGTATTTATTTTTGTCTATTTTTTTCTGGAGTACTAACATTTACAGCATTTATTTTATGTGTCTCTGACATGCCCATACAGATCTCTAAAATATACCTTTCAGTATTCCTTCAGTTCAGTTTCATCCCAGAGCATATCATACCCAGTTCCAAAACTCTTTCATTCAAATATATCTGCATTTGCTAATCTGAACTGGTTCTTGCTCTCTCTGATTACATGCCTAGTCATTGTGTTTTTTATATACAAATTATTGAGTATTTTTAATTCTAATTTCTTGGAGCACTCTTGTATTTTTTTTCTCATCCAGAGTTTTTTTCACCATATTTCACCAAGCAGCCTTTTTCAATCTGCCATTAGTGAAATTTCTGTAACTTCTGTAGCATTTGTTGAGTTGGCTTTTTCCAAATCCCACCTTTGCAGAATATAATGTTATCCATAACAAATATTGTATAATTAACACACATACAGTACATTATTTTATGGATTTCAAATTTTTAAAATAATAATAGATGTCAGGTTTAAAGTTGCTATTAAATTAGTAAACAAGATGGTTTTGTATGATCAAAGCAGAATTAAACTTTCAAATAAAAACTGTTTGCCTGAAAACCTGGAATGTCAATGCCAGTAATCTGAAGATAACAGCTTTCTATGTTCCAATCGAGTTATTTTTCTAATATGTAAAAATAGCAGAACACATCTCCCTTAACATTCAAGATGTATTTAACTGTTATCTTCCCACTTCAATTGTTTAGTAGTATCCTGAGATGATTGCTAGAAAGCATGGAATCATCAAAGGGTGAGTACAGAAAGTCAGTGTCTATGCATTTAAATATATGCATGAAATTGTTCCACACCATATCCAAAGTCATTTGGACTAGAAACATTACAACTTGTTGCAAAAATTTTATAACATCAGTCTTCTTTGTAAAAGTCCCCTTTCAGGATGGTGTAGAAACTTTTTAACACTCTGTAATATTTGGTGTGAAGCTTTCTGTACAATACTATGAAGAATTATAAATTTATTCAGGTAGATTTCATTTGGTATAAATATGCCTAACTATTCATAATTGTCTAGGTCAGTTTCCCCCATGACATGTATAATTCTCAGAACATATTAAAGTTATTAGTAGCAGAATAATGAATAGACAGATGACTTTAATTCTCTGTTTTGCCACTAATTTTCCGTGTGATTCGGGGCACAAGAATTAACAACTTTTGTTTCCATGGAGTTTTTAAGGGCTTTAAGTAGCTTTTTCTTGGGAATATTCTTCACTACAAAGTACAAATAATAGTGTGTGCTCTCTCTCTCTCTCTCTCTCCCTCTCCCTCCCCCCTCCCTCCCCCCTCTCTTTTCTTGTTTAGAACTGTTAAGATGCCTAGGTAATATTTGTGGTGATGGTAAAGGTTTAATACTTCTAATGATTATGATTTCTTATTTTTCAGATATAAAATTTATTACTGATGAGACACTGGATTTTGAACTATTTTCTCCATTGGATGGGTAAGACTGATAAATAATTACTGACAATTCATAGAAGCTATCACATGAGTAAATAGCAAATGTGTGAAGTTGGTAAGCAAGTACCTTCACAACCACTAACAGTGGGGTTTTTTTTTAAATTAAACATGGAATTAGTGACTTTAGTGGCCATGAACTCATGTCCAGTCCCTCCTTGCTATCTTGACCAGGATCAACTGATAGTCCTTCTAAGGATATTCCAATAATTTCCTTGATCCTGTTCATTCAATTTTTCCATTATCTTTCCATTCTTCTATTTCCATCAATCAGGCTATGCACAAAAATTTTTTCTAGTTCATCATCCATTTGCATTACATATTCAAAGTTTGTCTATGTAATGTATGAGTTTCTACTTGGTGATCAGAATTTTAAAGGAATCTTTACTTTGTCCAGGGCCAACTGACAGTTGTTTTCTTGTAGGTGGCACTACTCTAACAAATTCTTTCTCTTGATCTATTACAATATCTAGCTTCCATATCTATATGTTATCACTTGGGGAGGGGATTGTCTTAACTCTTTTGTCATAGAAAATATCCTTAATCTTCACATCTTGTCTAAATTTGTCATTGTTTTCATTGCTAGGATTACTGTACTTTCTTTAACTCATGTGAAACACCCTCCATGCCTGTCAGTTCTTGAGTCCAAGAAGGCAAAACTATCAATCTCCTTCATGTCTTTGATTCTACCTGTGAATTCAGTAATTGTGGTTGATATTATGTTTGTCATCTTAATATTTTTCACTTTTTATTTTTTTTATGAGATCTTTTTTTCACTAAATTAAATATACTAAATTTGGTCCTCAATTGTCTTATATTTTTACTGTATATTCTCTAGGTCAAATCAGTGGGTTTTACAAACTGTACCTGAAAATGTCCTGATGAATTAGAGTATATATCTCCATTTTCTGTATTTTATTATGAAAGATTTGATTTGGATGTTGTCCATTCAGTGATGTCCAAATGTGATCTGCCTTTACATTGCTTGATGCAAATGGTGGCAGTGAACAGATGTTTCTTCATAAAACTCTTACCATCTCCTGCATTGTTGCATTTACTTAGTCCAAATCTTCCTGTAATTCGAGTTTTCTCCATTTTTCCAAATTTTGCGTTTCAATCATCCTTTTGCAATTTGCCATAGAAGTTGTCAATGGCTTCCATCAATGTATCTATAATTAGTGCATACCTTTCTTGACGTTGATGTTCACTATATGCCCTTCTAATTCTGAAATATATTATCTTGTCATTTATCATGTTATAGGTAAGCACACTATATCTTTTTTAAGTATCAGTGATGCTTCATTCCTTTGTATGGCCTCATGTCCTTCATATATAATATATTGTAATTAAAGTGACCAATTCTGATTCACTTAGTGTATCTACTAAGTTGAGTTATTCCTAAAACATGCAGTATAGTACATTTCATTCCTACTTTGAAAATGTCAGATTTACTTTACATTCCATGTTCCAACTTAGTCTGTCCTTATAAAATGAAAGTACCATTGTCAGTGATCAGGCTTACTTGTAGCATTGATAAAGCCACACTGTCTATTCCAGACCTATTAATGAAAATTCAGAGTTTTTTTTCTCAATTACAAGAGAAATGTCTTCTAATCTGATGGTCTCGTAATCTAGAATCAATTCTATCTAAATGTTATAGCCATGTCTATAAAGCTTCCTTGGCAACAAGGAAGCCTTGCCATCTTCTGGCATTCATTTTGGAGTTCCTTCCCTAGATAACAAGCTCCACTTGCCTTCATTCCTACTGAATCATTCTTACCTTATTTCTCATCCTTCTGATCTTATCAGCAAGGATAAGTGCTGATGTCAGGATTACTGAAGCTACTAAACTCCCCTGGAGAATAAAAATGAAAAGCCCAGTGCAAAGTTTTTGCTCAAGAGTGCACAAATGAAGATCTTAGCGAATCAATTAAATTACTTGGGAGAAAAGTGAAAATATACACAAATGATTCTAATTTGTTGTCCATTCCTTAAATTAAAAGATTATGTATCTAATCCCTAATAAATTTCCAATGTATTTTTAAATAAAAACAGTTGAAAATGCTAATACTGAGAAGCTTTATTCTGGTTTTGTACAAAAGCCAAATACTTTGAAATCCGGCCAGGTGGGAGCAGCTTTCTTAGGTGACCTTATATTCTTTTTTTTTTTTTACAATATTTACATGGCTCTCATAACAAGTCTACAATAATAAAAATATGAAACTTTATTTTGAGTTACATGGCTATTTCCTTGAATGTGTAAATGTGTTACATTTTCTCTCTCTCTCTCTCTCTCTCTCTCAGCACTTATTGCTGTTATAGACAAGAAGAGGAAGAATCTATAACTTGTCCCCTTGAACTCAGTGACAAGAGTGTGGCACAAGCAGTTGATCTGAACATCTTGTTGAAAGAGAATGATGGAAGGGCCAAAGAGCCAAATCCCCAGTGGAGTCCCCTGACTCCATTGAAGCTGGAGGAGGTCATGAAAGAAGCTAACCTGCTGGCTAGGCAGCTTGAGAAATGTCAGCTTCTGGAAAAGAAGAATATCAGTTCTGAAACAAAGCTTGAGACAGTTCTAGAACATGAGCTTTTATCCCCAATCAGGTCCTTGTGTGAAGAGACTAAGAGCCCCCAGAACTCCCGGAGAAAGACTTTCAATGTGAAGGACAGTCCTCTGAAAGATCTGCTCCCAACAGTGGAACCAGTTACCTGCTTGGCTCAAGGTTCCCCCAAAGCTCTATTTCCCAAAGGTAGAAGTCCTTCTTCCCGCCTGGTGGACTTGCCTAGTCCCAGAAGACTCCAAAATACATCTTATGTTTGCAGCACTGAGGTTCCCCAAGCTAAGCTCTCTGAACCTAAGGCCTTGATGACAATGACATCCGGCAATAAAAAGGTATGGTGGCAGGACAGAAGCTCATCAATAAGGCATGTAGATTGCGAAGATTGTGCTTAGGTTGTGCCATTGGTTTTGATTCTGATTTCTTCCTAAGCTTGTGCTTATTATACTTAGTCAGCCTTTCAACTCTGTTAAGAGTTACAACTCGCAAAACCTCAGCAATTGACCTCCTAGACTTTTTAGAATTGCAAAGATTGCAGTGGGAGGTTCGCTAACTGAAAATGTTTGTAGACATTTCATCCACACATATTGCACACATAATGGCTCCCTTTTTAATCTAATTGCTGGGTAAAACCCCATCCCCAAATCTCTGGACTGCTAGACCTAAAGAATTTGTTTCTTTTTAATATTTTAAACTGAGATAGTACGGTTGCAGAATTTTTCCATATTGCAGTAGTGACACAAAGATCATTTTAAGTAGCTCTGCATGGTGCTTATTAGCATTATCTTCCTATTACCATATAATAAAGATGATGCAATAGTTCATTATATGGATTGTGACAATGTGTAGCATTTCTTTACCAATTTCTCCAAGTACTTTTTGTGGTAATCTATTCACTAGCCCTGTAAAAGATAATTTAGCTTTAATCATTTTCGTTTTGTGAAATTGAATCTGCAAATTCAGTATTATGAAAGAAAATTCCCATCCTAATAACTTCTTTCTCTATCCAGCACCTTCTTATTTGAATAGCAGAATAACAGAGTTGGAATGGACCTTGGAGGTCTTCTACTCCGCCTGCCTTCCCAAGCAGGGCACTCTATACCAGGGGTGGACAAATGTGGCCCTTTTACAACCTGTGGACTTCAACTCCCAGAATTCCTGAGACAGCCAAGTTGGCTCAGGAATTCTGAGAGTTGAAGTCCACAGGTCATAAAGGGGCCATATTTGCCCACCCCTGCTCTATACCATTTCAGACAAATGGTTGTCCAACTCTTTAAAACCTCCAGTGATGGAGCATCCACAACTTCTAAAGGCAAGACGTTCCACTGATTAATTGTTCTGTCAGGAAATTTCTCCTTATTTTTAGGATGCTTCTCTCCTTGACTAGTTTCCGTCCAAGAACATGGATGGAACATCCAGAATAAGCTTCTTGTTTTGCCTTTAGATACTTTGGAGAATAGATTGACCCATCTTTGAGGCAGTCCCTCACATATTGGAACACTGCTATCATATCACCCCTAGTCTTTCTTTTCATTAAACTAGACATACCCAATTCCTATAACCGTTCTTCAAACTTCCAGTCCCCTAATCATCTTTGTTGCTCTTCTCTGCACTCTTTCCAGAGTCTACGTATTTTAATATCGTGGTGACCAAATGCAATATTCCAAATGTGGCCTTACCAAATTATACATTATATTCTCTGCTTTGAGTTTACATTCCCATAGTTGCTTTATGCTTCAGAAATCACAAGGAAGCCCTATTATTTTAGAAGCATCTTCTGGAGCAGATCAAAATGCAAAGAGAGTAGTAGTTAACACTCTTAAAGAAGAATGTATCTCTGTGTGTAAAATCTAGTACAGTATATACAGTCATGATCATGGATTCTGGAAATGCAGAAGTCTACATTGCAGTCAAAGTCCTTCGATTTTTGAGAGAGAGTTATATACATTTAAGAAAGATACTTGTTTCACTTTGCACTAAATGTATAGTAAAAGGAGAGAGGGACAGAGATGCCTACTGTACTCTTTCAAAACCTTAGTTTTTTGCCCAGAATCTATGCTAGTCAATTTTAGATTTGTATGAAAGTTGTTAGGAATTGAAGATTGCTAAAGGCAGGAGTAGCTGCATTCCCCAAGTAGTTAATTTTGTGGCTCTTGTAGTCCCTTTTATTTTATCAAACAGCTTGCTAAGATTTTCACTATCTCAAGGCAGAATACAAACAAAGTTCAATGTCCTAAAATAGTTACTATGTTAAACAAACAAACAAGCAAAAAACAATCTGCCTGCCACCTTGGGAATGGGTAGGAATCCAAAACCTGGCTCTCCTAGTATATGGCCCTGCCTACAGCATAACATTGCTTCACCTATGTACATCTCAGCTTCCCTCTTCTAAATGGGAAATACAGCTCTTGGCCATCAAATGTTTCTCAGTCTTTTCATATCCACCTTGTACATTACAACACAGCCGTGGAAGAAAGTTCTGTGTGTAGTCCATTTGGAAAAAAAATATGTTCTGATAAACATGTTTAGACAACCACTTAAAACTTTGTTCACCTAAGTTTATGTACTTTTCGGTTCTGTAGAATCTGCCTGTTTGTTTTTACCTTACCTTTTACCTTAACAGTCATATGTTTACTGATTTTTTGCCTTTTAAAAACTGCTACTCTGCTTTGAGGACCATACTTCTTCGAACGGGATATCCATGTTCTGGATTATTTTTTTTCCCCCCACAGGAAATCTGTTTAAAAAGCTTTAGCTAATTTTCTACAGAATAGCAGTTCTGTTCAAAAGCTGCAGCTGTTTTATTTCTGCCTTAAGCTTCAGGCAACCATCACGAACAAAAGGACAGATAAACTACTCATCCTCCCCACTACCACAAAAGGCCAGCAGCCATTGCTGCATTTGAAACCTCTCCCTCAAACCAGCATAAGGAAAATGCAGAGGAAGACAGAAGCTTCTGCTAAAAACAGTCCTGATCAAGGCCCACAGGTATTTCCAACAGAAATGCTGCTGGAGTGGTTGGAGGGGGGAAGGAAGAGAGAAAACTGGGCAGATAGTTAAGAATGTACACCCCTGCATAAAAGCTGTATGTATAGTGACTAACGTTTGCATGGTTCTCCAGCCCGAAAGGGTGCTTAGCATATCTTTGTTTGTATCAATGCAAGCTAAGGCTATAAACATCTCAAAAAGCATGCGTGTAAATTGTACAATTTAGCCCTCATATATATTCATCCATGGAAGGGTGTGTATGCATGTAGGACCATATGTTTGTTTTTCATGCACAACAGAGAAGCTTCTGAATGTTATGGAGCACCAGCCATCTTTAACCAGTGTAACACAATCCTATAAAATGTAATTTCCTCTGGAATCTTGCTGTGAATATATCTGCAGGTTTCCTCTATCCAAGGGACAGTGCTTGCTGCACAACCGAAAGGAAAGCCAAATCCTCAGATGCGTCTCTGGCGGACCAGCCCTGTGAAAAAAAATCCAGTTGCTCCAGAAAAGATGGCACCTCTCCAAAAGACAAATGCAAGTAAGTTAAAATAAATGACCGGTACTTGTATTTTGCCTTATCCCTTGATCAGGTTTCATGAAAATCTTGGCAAGATTTCACAAGTGGTTTGCCAATGTCTGCTTCCTAGGATTGAGTGACTGGCCCAAAGTCACTCAGCTGGCTTTATGCCTAAAGTGGACTAAAATCCACAATCTGCTATGTGGCAACAAGAGATAAACTAGTTTATAAACAGTTTTTTTAGCTGTTCAGTCTGGGTCTTCACTAGATTGAAAACTTAAGTGTTATCTATATACCACATATTATTGACCCATCATTAATGCCTGATTCTCTAGCTGATAAGTGAACTGGTATCAGCATTAATTCAAATCTTTAGAGCCCACACACTTTCCCCTTTCACTATGAGTTGCCTTTGTTTCTTACTCCATTCCTTGCTGTGAGACTGCTGAATGGCTGTTGGACAGGGACTTAAATAAAGTACTCTTGAAAATCCATATAAAGAATGTATCTTGGCCCCTATAATCCTTTTACATTTAAAGAATTAAGTAGGATCCAGTCACTATGTCTAGAAACATTTTGCTGATTTGCCATTAAATCAATTTTTTCTTTCTTTCATCCCAGGTCAGGTGAAAACTATGGGAGGCAATGGCCCCAAAAGACAAGCCACCTCCAAGCCTCGTGGTGGTTCTGGTCAAACAAGACACACTGCCACATCTCCACTGGCAAGCCAACTCCCAAAGCCAACCAATCATACTGCTGCTGTTTCAGGCAGATACACAGTTCCTGGGAAATCCAGCCAGTTTAAACCAGTGAGTTCAGAAACATCTGGTGGGCAGAGATCCACTAAACCAACTGCTGGGGTTGGGAAGAAAGGTGAGTGAATACACAGGGACATTCTAAAGAGTTTTGCAATTCTGTTGAAATGTATTGTTAGAAAAACTATACATAGGGATAAGATTGTCCTCAGTGCCATTTCATCTATTAAAATGGTAGGCATGTGTGACCTCAGATTGCCTTCTTAGGTGAGAAACAAGTTCTTAATCTACACATAATATGAAATAATCCCATCTGGGTCTTATTTAGATAGTACAGGTAGTCCTCAATTTACAACCATTTGTCAGCTTTGGAAGCCCTATTAGGCCGGAAGCTTCCATGCTGCCACCTTCTCTCCTATTCAGAAAGGTGGTTGGAGACCATTCACTTAATGACAGAAGTTACAACGGCACTGAAAACAGTGACTTGTGCCTGGTTTTCATACTTATGACCATTACAGCATCCTCATGGTCATGTGATCAAAATTTGGATGCTTGACAAACTGGCATGTATTTATTATAATTGAACTATCCCAGGATTATGTGAACTCTATTCATAACCTTCCCAGACAGCTTCGTACAAGCAAAGTCATTGGGGTTCAGTTAGGGTCGTAAATTGAGGACTACCTGTAAAACCAAAATACCGTAATAGGAGCAATGAGGTATAATCATTACGTCATTCCTCATTCCCACAATTCTTTATCATCTTGAAATGCCATGAAGTACATTTGTAACCATGCCGGATAATGGACTACATAACCTGGTTTATAGGTTATTTACTTTAGCAGCACATACACTAAAATAGGAACAACAGAGAAAATTAGCATGATCTATGTACAAGGAAGATATAGAATTTCTATACTCTGGATGCTAGGACAGTCTTGTGTTAAACAGACACACACAAAAAAAGCGTTTGCAATTCCAACCTAGAAGGTCCTTGAATTTGGGAGAAGATAATTTACAGCATGCCGCATACCTGCCCTTGTTTTGACTTGTGGACGAAATGGACTTGATCATAAATCTTGAATGTAACCTGTTCATAAGTAGAGCACTGTCTGTATAAGAGAAATCCTCTGGTGAAAACAGGATGACCCGTTTCTTGCACGCTTTTACACTTACATTTTTGTACTGAATACTGTATACTGTTTTCCTTCCCTAATCTGCATGTTGTCTGATATGGGGACTTCAGCTCCCAGAATTCTCAGCAATGGACACAACTGGTAGCACTCAGGTTGCCATACTGAATCTAAGTGGGCTGCCAGAGTTTTGTTTGTTTTGCTCAATATGTAGAGAGGGAGGTTAAGCCTATTTCAAACAATGGATTTCCCATATAAGAATAACACAAGATTAGAGCTGGTTGATTTGGTTTTCTCTGCTCAGTTTCCAGTCAAGAATTGTCTGATCTTTTGGGGAACATAAGTTTCCTCCGTGATAGAATTATAAAATAAATAATAAATTAAATATAAATTTACTTCTCTTTTCTCTCTCTCCACCTCCCTTTACAGCTGCATGTCAGAAGCCAATCCCACCGGGCACTTTTCAGAACAGCAGGCTGAGACTGCCAAAGACTTCTAGCAATTCAAAATGAGGGGATGGAGCCCTGGGTTTTGAAGCCATGTAAGTGTCCTACCTCACCACTGTCAATGGAAAAACATCTAAGACAGTCTGTGGGGAGAAAGTCAACCCACGTATTAGTGGGAGATTATCTGCAGTGATCATCTATCGAATGATCTGGATACTGAACACGTGTGGATCCAATGATTAGCAGCTGAAAATCTATCCACGTTGATTACAAAAACAAAATCCCAACCCTCAGATTTTAAAAAGTACACTATTGATTGGTCTAAATAATGGAATAGATTTAAGGTGTATGTAAAAAGTACAACACAGGTAGTCCTTGGTTTACAATTGTTCCTTTAGTGACCATTCAAAGTTACAATGGCACTGAAAAAAGTGAATTAGGACCATTTTTCACACTTACGACCATTGCAGCACCTCCCCCGGGGTCACATGATCAAAATTTAGATGCTTGGCAACTGGCTCATATTTATGACGGTTGCAGTGTCCTTGGGATCATGTGATCCCCTTTTGCGATCTTCTGACAAGCAAACTCAATGGGGAAGCTAGATTCACTTAACAACCATGTCACTAACTTAACAACTTCGGTGATTTCACTTAACAACTGTGACAAGGAAGGTTGTAAAATGGGGCAAAATTCACTTAACAAATGTCTCGGCAACAGAAATGTTGGACTCAATTGTGGTCACAAGTCGAGGACTACCTGTACAAATTAATATTAAGTGTATACTGATTTCAAGCATTTGTAAACCTGTCCTAACTACCTACTCCATCTGTCCTTTAAGATAACACTACCAGCCATTACTATAATCTTGGGAACAAGCCAGAAAAAACTGATAATCTCAGGTGGTGCCTTCCTTTTGAAGATAAAGCTGCTTTGGTCTCATAGAAACTCCTGGAATCACTTCATTCAAGAGAACTTTCAAAGCTTGCACTGTGCATCTCCTCTAATGTTATCACACTCTGGGTTTGTGGTTTGAGGATCCTGGAGTAAGGAAGCAAAGACTACCAGTCCTTGTCCTATCATTACATTCCTTAGATTTACAAGTGAAACTTGTGTGGGCTAGAAGTCTTGAGTTGCGTCCTATGACATTTTGCTGAGCCATTGCTGAAAGGGAGAACTTCAGCTCAGCAGTAGAGACTCCCCTGACTTTTTGACGATTGGTTTAGCTTAAAACTTTTAGGTTAAAAACAGCCTTACTGGAGCCCAGTGGAATATTTAGTCTTTTATAAGATACGCCGACCACTATACAGCATTGAGCTGTAAAGAAGCATTATGTAATACTGAATAATGTATGCACTGTTGATCATTTTGATATTTCTTTAAAGGTAAACACTAACGTACACTTTCGGTTGTTATATGTGAAGGACTTGTTTCTTTCGGTTAAACTTATTCAAAAGTAAGAAAGCTTTTGATTCTTATTATGTGAAAGACTACACAATGCTCATGTCAAACCCCTTTATCTTTTCATACTTATTCCATACCTCCTCTTTATAATTAAACTGAGGATAGCCAGTGGTAATGTTGTTAATCCACAGATTTCCTGTGCTATTAATAGTTGCATAAGAGACAGAAACCTAAACAAGTTAAAAAAAATTAACTTACTCTGTTATGGAGTTGATAAAGATTTACCCCAAAACACGAATCACACTCATAAAATAGCATTTGTATAGTGTTCTTGATTATTCTCAGGGCATTTGTGGCTTAGATGATGGAAAAGCAGTACACAGTACTGAAAATACTTGTGCTTGTGAGCCAGTTTCATACCATTTAGACCTATATAAAGACGAAATAATACTTCTAAGCTGGTGCAGTGGAATTCTTAGAATCTCAGTTTTGAACAGAGCTACCTGCCTGCCTTCATCATCTATCTACTTAAGCAAATTTGCAACAATCTAACCCAGAGAAAAATGCCTTGATCAAAAAAATCTTCAGCTCCTTCTTATTCTAAATTAAATGGTGCTTCCCTGTTGTACAATAAAGCTTTAAGTGAAGGAAGTTGAGACTATTTAAACAATCTCTGTAGAAGGGGTGTAATAATGTGTTAAGCACCACAATACTCTTGATTTCAAGACAATATAGCGACAGGACACTATTCAAAGACTGTGGAGTGACTCCTGGAAATTCTTCCTCCAGTAGATCCTAAGAGATGGAAGATGAATTCTTTGCAGTTTAAGGAGTTGCAACAGTGAAGTTAATCTTTATGTCTTGCACAAGATTGAAGGAACAAATGCTGTGACAAAATGCAGTATCAATTCTGCCATATTCATATATGTTGTATTGATATTTTCTAATTTCTGAAAAAATATATGCCTGTCTAATAAAACACATCTGTATAATGACTTGTAGCAAAACCAACTCCTTCAGTAATTCTATTATTACCTCTTGGTGATCAGTGCTCATTCAGGGATAAGAGAACCAGTACTGCAATTCCTTTTCAGTAACAGAAGCTTGACTTTTGTCCCATTTTGATACTGTTAATGTAATGTCTCCAGATAGATAGACCATGTACATTTGTTCAGCACAGCAGACAAAAACTGAATGAATTACAAAACCTGCAATGAACCATCATGTTTCTGCAAAGACTAAGGATTTCTCATAATGGATAAATCACCAGAAGAACTGGGGGCCATTTCTCTATATATTTGGAAGAGAAGAAATCTAGATTCTCCTTCACAATGCCTCTGCCAGTAGCAAGGAAACTTAATAGCTTCAACTCTTTCTATTGAATTCAGGTTCTTGGTCTTCCCTTTCCCTACTCAATTTTCTAGAAAAGGTAGACAAAGCACTGAAATGGAGCCACCTACACAAAACTATGGTTTTATTATTTAGGAAAAGGGGTGAACTCTGTTATATTTACATTAAGAACCCTCCCTATACACTTGAGATATCTAAACCAAAGGAAAAGCCTGTAACCCACCAAGTATTAAGAAAACAGTTTGTTCCTCCCAAAAAATTAAATCATCAGAACTCTTCCTGTGCTTTCCTCTCTCACCAAACTGGGTTTTTTAAGAAAAAGTAAGGTTTGTTTCCTTGGCCCTATTCCACCAACTTCAACAGTTGCTTGTCAAGCAGAAATTCAAAGACTACTATTTCCAATTCAGTAGATGAGGCTGTGACACGAAAGCATTTATTTCTTGAATTTCTGCATGCATCACAGCTACTCAAGACTATGGAAACAACTGTACATGGCTGTAGCTGAGTTCTGCTGGAAATGACTTTACTAGCTAGCGAAGAGGAAAAGAATGGATTGGATCAATGGGAATTCGCACTAGAAGACAAGAACCTTGAACCTACAATGGCATATGTTTAGATCTGGACAATGGCGGTGGCGATTTATTGCCTAGGAAATGAAAGGTGTGCTCAGTTGTAAATATATGCATATACATCTTTAAAAAATAATAAATTAAAAAGCAGACATGTCAAATACATCCTTTCCACAGTTAAAACAGCTAATTAGCTCTTTATAGACAGCAGAGGGACACTAAAAAATTAATTGGCTGCAGTGATGAAGCAGAAGCTGAACTCTTCACATCAAGCTCCCCATACAAGACAGTTTCTCAGTCTTTAATACAGTTAAGGTTTAACACTTCCTTGGTCATGAATGGAGTGGCACACCTTTCCCCTCCAATTCCGTCCCACCTGGCACAGGAACAGGTGGATCAACTCTTTTCCCTGGAAGTCACTGCTGCTGTAGAGAGCTTAGTTTGAATCCTTTCGTACCACTGCTTTCAAGTTTGTTTCAATTAATGGATTTGCCATATAAGAAAGATTTTGCATAGGAAGTTATTGTAGGCTAGTTTGTGCATTTGACGTACAGTCTAAAAACTCAGCATTTAGAGGTACTTGGGACTGGGGTGATGGAGCAGGTAACCAGTGCTTTTGTCTGGTAGAAATCTAATACTGCGAATGGTTTCAGAGAAGCCAAAATGTAGGTAAGTGAAGATGTTTCCAATAAGGAAAAATTCCCAAGGCTTCATTTGTTTGATAGCTGCCTTAATGGAGCCCTGACATAAAATATAATGCAATGTTGCTTGGAGAAGAATATAATTGTCATGTTTTTATGAAGGAATGGGGCTTTATGGAAGACACTGTAGAGTAGCCATTGATCTTTCCTTCCAACCTTTGTTCAGCATACCAAAACAAAATAAAGATATTCAGGAATAAACTAGCCTCTACCTTAATAAGTGGCAATTTAAAAGGGAGCCTTTTTGGTTTGCCTCTCCGTGTCCAGGAGTAAGACATGTGTAGTCCTGCAAATACAGCTAATAATTCCCAGCTTTGATCATCTGGGTCAGGGATACCTAGAACTGTAACTAGGCCTCCTGTCCTAGTGAATTTTTCATCTGATCTGCTTACTCTAATACCTTTGCATTTCAAGTTGGCCTTCCCCAAGCAATGCCTTTCAGAGACATTGGACTACATTCAACAAACCCTAATTTGCATGACTAATGGATCATACTGGTTCTGGATAATGGGACTTGTAGCTCAGACACATCTGAACAGCAGAGGGCTGAGGAAAGCCATTATAGATATGGGATAGCCAAAAGTGTGTCCCATTGCCTGAATTTGGCAATCACTTACCATTTTGCATTCACCTATGAGTCAAGTCATGAGGGAAAATGCTTCCAGGGCAACATGGGAAGTCCTCCGGGTTTAAATATTCCTTCTTGCTGCAGTAACTGCAACAAGCCATATATTAGGAAGCCAAAGGGATTCCTGCCTAGTTGAATTTTATTTCCATATGTATCTCCAGTTTGCTTCAGTACGAGCAGCAGGAATTGACCAAAATGGTGTTGAAGACAACAGCAATACAGGCTCCAGGTGGAGCTTGGGCAAATGGCTCTTCTTTTGTACAGACTTTTTTTGGATGGGGGTGGGTGGGGGTTGTGTCTCCTTTCGCTTAACCAGCTAAAGTCAAATGGTTCAGAAGGAACACTCAATGGAAATAACACAGTAGTAGATCATACGCTGAAGAGGCTGGTCTTCATCCCCTGCGACCTACTGGAATGGGACAACTCACCACGGCCAACTTGCCATGGCCAACTCGCTATGGCCAACTCGCTGCAGGACAATTCAACAATTCAATTTAATTATTTAAAATAATTAAAAAAATATTTTAAGTTTCATCATTCACATTTCATTTTGTCCCTCCTTTGGCATCCTTTCTTTAATGATTCTATTCCACCATTTCTTCGATATTAATGTAACTCTTGTCCCGCAGCGAATTGTCCCTTGGCGAGTTGGCCATGGCAAATTATCCCATGGCGATTTGGTCGTGGTGAGTTGTCGTAGATCTACTTAGCGTTGTAGATGCCACTGCCATGCCAATTTGACCTTATACAGATTTCAGAGAATCACATTCTATGTGTCAAAACATTCCAAGAAAGGTTTTGGAATTGGCAAGTACAGAGGCCACAAAAGGCTAAACAGTAATGGACAATATTACTGGAGGTGTTGAAAAGAAAAGCCTCATTTTCAGAACTCCTTTCTTTGACAAGCCAGGCCATGACAACAGTCAAGTCCCAATTAACCTCTTATTGTGCAAACCTTGGCTAAGTCAATAAAGCGCATCAGATTCTGCACCCAGCTAACAAGATTTAACATTGCTATAAAGCATGACCCCCAAGGGTTTTTCAGCTATTTAAATTAGAACATCCTTCAGCAATGGTCAAATGAAAAAACAAAAATCAAAACACGTCAAAGTAACAGTGCCTTCACCCTCCCCAAGCTGTCCCCCCCTTCCCACTCTCCCTCAGCAGAAAAGTCTCTTTCCCGGTGAACGTCGTTATAAAAAAAGTACTTTCCAAAAGGACCGACATGAAAATCCCCATTATGAGCAGGCATCAGGACTTGGCTGAGTGTAGAAAAAAATGAAGGCTTCTGAGGCAGAAAGGCAGCAACCTGTTGGCATGAGAGCCAGGCGCTTTTGGGAGACATCAAGGCAGCGTTCCTGCTCCAGCCACAGTAGCAACAGGGGGGACACGTGCTGATTGGCTGGGAGGAGCGGGAGGTGGGACTTTTTTCTTTTTGTCATTTTCTACGAAAATAATTGCAGCATGGACTGATGGCTCAGCAGGCCACACCCGTGGTGCTCAACACCTTATGGGCTGCCTCTTGGAGCATTCTGATGGGGCCAAGTTACTGGAATGGTGAGCTGAGCTTGGAGAAGTGGCTGTCAAACAAAGCAGTTTGAAAGTAACTGTGATCCAAGGAAGAACGTTTCCATTGATGCCAGTGGATATGCTGGTCCTGTGTCCCTGATCCCACTGCAATCTGAAGCACCAAGGCTGGAGTAAGCAACTTGCCAGAGAAGAACAAGATCCACAGCTGACGCTAATCTGTACAGTCCATGAATGTAGGCAGCGTGATGGTGATGAACATCCTGGGGAAATGGCTAGTAGGTCTGGAACAAGCCTACTCTTTCAACATTTTTTTAAAAAACTTTCCTTAGGCCAGAAAAGTGCAGGTGGAACTAGTGCTGCTCTGCAGAACAGCAATGTACTTATACAGCATTCTGGAAAAGCTATTTGGATGATGAATTTCTTTCCTATTCTATAATTGCTTAGTATGGCAAAACCAAGATGTCAGATTCCCATTTTCTGTGCGTGCCAGAGAGCCCGAGATTGAAGTGCACCCTGGATTAAATATGCTTCAATTGCACCTTGGAAGGTGTGTTTAGATGCACGCTGCTGGATCAGGAAAAAAGCATGACCATGGCTGGTGGATGCACATATACTGCAGAGGGAGGCTCTGGGTTGTGCCCTCCAGATTCAATGCAAAGCCAGCTGTGGTTCTTAAGGAATATCGAGCATACAGTAGGTCTCACATGCGTCCCCTGCACAGCCAGGTCTGCTACACCCTCCAGCTTCCATTTAAAAGGTGCTATTTCCCTCCGTCCTAGGAGAAGCCCAGGATGGTGTCCTCCAAAACTGGGCCTATCCTGGTTTGTTACTTGAGTCAAAACATACAGTTCTTGGCGGCTCCTAATTGCAGCCATCTTCAAGCACAGTGGCCCCTAGCTCCACCCCATTGTCAAATATTCAATGAAAACATCTGCACAGTAATACATGTCCACATGGTGGCTGCTGAGGCTCCCCCAGACCAATTTTGATAAAGAAAAAAATATATATATTCCAGACACGCAGCACTTCCAGACTGGGCAACAAAGCATGAAAATCCCTGAAGACGTGGAGGTGGTTAAGTTTATGTTCTTTCAGTCCATTTTAGAATGATCCAAAGTGCATCTGTTCGACAAGGTCCGCCTCCTGGAACCTGCTGTTCCCCCCAGGGGGTGGGGGGGCAGGTCACTTTTCATTTGGCACTACATACAGTGGGTCCAGCTCCCTGGGCCAGGCCGGGCTGACGGAGACAACATTCCTCGCTGTGGTTTGAGAGCAATCCTGGCTCCCAGACTGGCCAAACGTGTGTGAGAGACAGAGAGAGTCTGGTGCATGCGACATCAGATTGAGGTTTCATCGCTCCTGCTCAGTGATCAAACACAAAGCGAGACAGGACAGGGGGAACACAAACACATGAGTGTGGTCATGAGCAGGTTTGAGCAAAGCACCCCCCCTGGGGCTCGTGTGTTAATGGAGGAAATTAAAAAACAGAAATCTGGGCGATTGAAGCGAGAGGTGAGAGAACAAGAAACAGAGAAGGGAGGAGAGGAGGAGGAGAAGGGGGTTAGTGCAAGAGAGCTCAGGAAGAAGTTAGAACAGGATAGCATCCCCCAATTCCCCCGTCACATTGCTAAAGAGGATAGGTGGGCAGAGTCCCACAGCATCTCACAGGAGCAGCTCAGTACTTCTCAGGGACTTTAATTCTGACATGCTCCTCTGCCCCTTGGGCAAGCTACAGGGTAACCCTGGGCTTTAAAAAAAACCCTTTCCCACCTAAGAAGGAGATGGCTACATCCTGCCTTTTAAATTCTGAGCTACATCCAGATGGAGCTAAGGGGTTATAGTCTGGGCCCAAAGTCAGAGGAATATATTCTCCAAGAATGGGAACACCCCCTCCCCCAAGGTCAGTGAAATATTAAAGGATTTTTATAACACAAACGTCAGGAAGAATCTAGGGAATTGTAAGTAGATAGTTCCTAAAGGCACAGCCTGGGAATAAAGGTGGGGGCAACTATGAAATATAACAAAATATCAGCCTGAAAGATCGGAAGCACCAGATCTGGCGTGTGGACAAGAGGCTTCACAGAGGCAGCAGGTTGTCACACGCAAACCACCAAGGACAGGCGAGCAAGGAGAAGGCTCAGCCATACTCACTCGGAGCCTGAAGAGTCCTCATCCACTGTGCCAGTCTTTATGCTCATGGTGATAGGTGTAAGGCCATTGAGCTGCTCCTGTAGCGTCTGTCGGGGTCGTGGTACCCCACCCCCACGGCTGCCATCGCTCCCCGAAGAACCATGCAATGATACCATCCCTGAGCGGCAGCTGGAGAGCTTGTTATGGATACGCTGGATGCTGCTCTTCTCACTGATGGGTGGCAGGTATTTTTTCTTTAAAATGCCTGAGGGCAGAAGATTCAGAGTCAAAGAAAAAACACACCATTCCTTGCTACAGTCAGGAAACCAAGGCCAAAGGATATGACTACTTCTCTTTATGGATAGAGGTGTGGGCTCCATAATGTTCTACTTCAGGGATGTCAAACTCAATTCCATTGAGGGCCGCATCAGGGTTGTGTTTGATCTCAGGGGGTCGGGGTGGGTGTGGCAGAGTGGGTGTGGCCTGCTCAATGTTACTCATCAGGGGCGCCTGTGGCAGCCCTAGTGCTTTGCCAGTGAAAACGGGCTCGCAAGCTCCGTTTCTGGCTGTGATGGCCTCCTGCAACCCTCTGCCAGCAAAAACAGAGCTTGGGAGGGCCACACGTGGTCCTCCCAAGCTCCATTTTCACTGGCAGAGGGTTGCAGAAGGCCATCACAGCTGGAAACACAGCTTGGGAGACTGTTTTCGCTGGCAGAGGCAGTGTGGGCACTGTGGGCTAGTCCCTCACTGTTTCCAGGTGCGGGCCAGAACTAAGCACCCCTGTTCTACTTGTAAAAAACAAAAAGCAGAGCTGTGTCCCATTTTCATCTCCAAACCTTAAAGGCACCAGGATCCAATCCTCTCGGTAAATTAAAATGGTTTTGAAATTAATGACTAAAAGCTATCTGGTTTTATGTATTTTCTTCATCATATTATCACATCCCATGGTCTTAGGCCCATCTGGTAGCAAGATCTTAAAAGAAATCAGATTTTTTTTTTCTTTGGTCTCATTTCTAAGATGGTAATTTGGAGAATGTTTATTCCAGTTCAGTCTTTAACTTTACAAGAATTGCCATTGCCAGCTTATTTATATAATGCATATAAACTCTTATAAATTGGTATTGTGGAGCTTTCTCACCAAAGGCTGCAATGACACATTATTTCTGCCCAAAGAGAGCTAGTTTTATTAACAGAAAAAATTAATCATAACCAATATTGTATCCCTTAATATGTATCAATAGGCACTGCAGTTTATGCTCTATAAATGAATTACTGTGATGCTTAAATTTAATATATTTATATTAAAATATATTGGTAATTGAGCTCTTTTCTTTCATTATCAACTGCTTATGCTGTCTGTACAGGATTCCAAGAGGCATTTAAATGATGGAGGAACAGTCTGTTCCCAGTGCTTTCTATAGGCTCAATCTTATTTCTAGTTCATCCAGGATGAATACCAAAGAATGACACACAATTAGATTAGTTGATTAAAAGGTTATTATAAGGTCATGTCCTATAAGGCCAAATTCTGTACTACTGTATCATACCAGAGAAAATGCTTATTTGCAAAACATTTTTACATTTTTTTGTTTGCTTCTTCCAGTCATACAGAGAGGCAAGAAATTATTTCTATTAATTCCCACAATTCACATACACCTAATCCATATTTATCTGGTCTGAGAGACTTAAGATGCTGAATTCACTCCTGAGTAATAAGAGCAATTGCCAAATGCAACTTGGTATTTAGTGCAATTCAAGAGAAAATTGCTAGGGTAAAACAGACCAGTCGGTGTTACAGTTCCCAGAATCTAATTTTTTACCTTTCTGGGGCTGAGCAGTGGGGTGAGGCAGTGAGCCCAAGATGCCCTCTCCATTCTCTCTGGCCAACTCCTCTGTCAGTCCCAGCCGGTCATTCTTACCCATTGGTTCTACCCGCAGCGACTCTGAGCCAGGGTGGCCATCGCTCTCACTGGCAGTGGTTACAAAGTCACCCGGCCAATAAGGTTTTCCAGGTCCAGAGATGTTATCTACTGAGAAAGGAGAAGATGATTGTAGATTTCAACGTTTGATAAAGTCTGATTTAGTGTTGACTCCATCCCTTCCTCCAGTTTTAGTGAGATATTCCTGGAGTTGCCCATGTCTAGCATTACCCTTTGGAGTGCTGAGTGCTGGCAGCTTCTCATTGTTAGGACACAGTAAGTTCTCCCAGCAAGGTTCCTTGGGAAATTCTTCATCCTCTTCACTGTCAGAGGAATGGGTGGAAGCAAAGGAACCACTCTGGTCATCTTCCATGGAAAGGTCACTGTCTGAATCAGTATCACGTTCTGTGCCCAAAAAGTGCAGGGAGAGAGACAAATAGTAATCAGACTGCATTAATAGTGCATCCATTCTTCACTCACCTGTTCTCCGGTCTCAACTCATACCAGAGTCTCATGCCAGGTACTTAATGGTTATTTAAGAACTATCTACACAAATCAGGGGATTATAGCATGCAATTAAATTGTTCTCTTGCACATGCATTTTTGTGCAAGCTCAATCTATAATGTTCCATGTGTGTAGTGGCTACAGTGTCCAATTAGAACTGGGAAAAACTAGGTTCAAATCTAAACTCAGAAAGTCATCAGAATGTGTCACTTTGGAGTAAACCAGAGTGAAGATAATAAAATGTTCAAGCAGCATCAAACCTAACAATGCTGAGTTTTTTTCTTAAGAGTTTTTGTTTCTCTTGCAAAACACATTTTAAGATACAAGGTCTGTAACATTATCATCCAATCTGAGATGGTTTCAAGATGGGAAAAAAATGTCCCTTGGTTCACACTGATGAAATGTATGTTTGAATATGAACACTACCTGAAGCTTCTTCCCATGTCTACTATTAGAATTTCTCCATTCAATTAAGGATACTATACACACCATTACCATTTAAAAAACCTGGGTCCTAACTTTTGAGTTGTGATGGCACAGTGATTAGAATGCAACATTGCAGGCTGACTGTGCTCACTGCCAGGAGTTTGATTCTGACCAGCTCAAGGTTAACTCAGACTTCCATCCTTCTGAAGTCAGTAAAATGAGGACCCAGGTTGTTGGGGGAAATATGCTGACTCTGTAAACCACTTAGTGTGCTGTAAAGCACTATGAAGAGGTATATACAGACTGTATAGTAATGTAAGTCTAAGTATATTGCTATTGCTACTGCTTTCCCCACTTCTACCTAACCATAACAAACATATTCCTGGGGAGGAAAAGGTGAAGATTGTCATATCTACATTATGTTATCACCACCATGTTTCCAACCCATGAGTGAAACAAACTTATCTGTACAAATATAAATGCAGTATTTCAGCAATTCAGTTCTGCAGTAGGGGAAAATCCCTCTGTCCTATGTTTCACTCATTGGTGGAAGAGACAGCACATTATCTCTTTCAATTTCCAGTGTTCACGTATCTGCTACATGAAGATGTTCCTGTATCCCAGCAGTTCACCAGGAATCAAGCGGACTGAAGGTAGCTTTACTTCTTACCCCTTTATTTATTTGTACCCTGCCTTTATTATTTTTTTTACAAATAACTCAAGGTGGCTAACATATACCTTTCTCTTCTTATTTTCCCCTCAACAATAACTCTGTGAGGTCAGCTGGGCTGAGAGAGAGTGACTGGCCCAAGGTCACCAGCTGGCTTTCATGCATAAGGCAGGTCTAGAACTCATGATCCTCTTGCTTTCTAGCCTGGTGCCTTAACCACTAGACCAAATTGGTTATACAAGAGTGGTCTTATTGGCTGTGGCGCTTTTTGTCCTATCAGTTTCTAAAGTCCAGGCTAATTTTTTAGTCTCTCAACAATTTAACAAATAAATCAGAATTATAGATATTAGGAATACATCTTCTCACACAATGAATTTGTCTGCTTTCTAACCTGTAGTATCCACCCCAAACCCCTCTTTATATTGTAACTAAGTTTACTGAACGGCAATGGGCTATCTGCCCGCCTTATCTATTCCACAAGATGACAGTGTAGATAAAATACAGATTCTTTAACTATGAAGGGCTAAAATAGCAATTTCATAAGGAATGGGATAGTGTCTATGAAAAAGGCAAGTATCCCTCTATAAAAAGTCCCACAGACACATATCATAATGGCCTGGGTTGTCATTTCTGTATGCAAACAAAGACAATGCTCATTTTAATCTGCCTTTCTCTTTTAGAATAAAACAGTTTTAGCACAGCAAAGCAAATAAAAAAAAATGCTGTGCAATTCTATGAAGATATCATTGAGTTTTATGGGATCTATAGATATAATATGTATATAACATGAAATATACTAAGCTGCAGCTTTATGGCTCTACTACATCCTCAGTCCTAGCACATATTTAACTTTGATTGGACTCTGAGAAACATGAGGAGGAAGAATTGTGGATTTTTTTGTTCACATGTAATCACCATAGGTGTCCAAAATCATAGAGCATTTAAAGAAGGTGATCAGGAAGTAGAAGGAAAAAAACAAGAAAAGGACTACATGGAAATGAGAAATACTATACTGTAGCTTCAAGAAGCAAATTATAAGGCATGCTATCAATTGAAGGCAATTCATAAGCCCAGAGAGGTAGACAATTCTGTCCAGAACTTGTCCAATTCTCTTCCTCTCACCATTGTTCTGATCCTTATCTTCCAAGAACAAAGAACTGGGATCTGCAGGCCCAATGTGTACCTGGCTATTGTTCAAGCCAGACTCCTCCCTGTGAACAGAAAATAGAGAATTTGATAGCTGCCAAGGTTCCACTTCAATCGAAAGGTTGGCAGTCCAGCAGTTCGAATCCCCAGTGCCACATAATGAGGTGAGCTCCTGTTACTTGTCCCAGCTTCTTCCAACCTAGCAATTCGAAAGCACGTAAAAAATGCAAGTACAAAAATAGGGACCACCCTTGGTGGGAAGGTAACAGTGTTCCCTGCACCTTTGGCATTTAGTCATGCCGGCCACATGACCACGGAGACGTCTTCAGACAGCGCTGGCTCTTCAGCTTTGAAATGGAGATGAGCACTACCCCCTAGAGCCAGGAACGACTAGTACACATGTGCGAGGGGAACCTTTACATTTACCTTAAGATTCCACAATACAGACAGCAAGATCTATACCATGGGGTAAGGAAAGAGTTATACATTCTTTACATTAGCATTACCTGAGCACAAAAGGGATGTAGCTGTGCTGACTCTTGCCTGAGCGGACAGTGCTATGCAAGGAACCAGTGGAGTCCCCAAATGGTGTATGGTACAATTGCCCATCCACGTAGGTATTGTTGCAAATATAAGCCTGTTGAGATCAGAATAATATGAGAGAGAGAGCATTAATAGTAGCAGAGAGGCAAGGGGTAACTTAATGAGTCCCTTCAATATATATATTTTTTGTATTCACCAATTAGACTAAAGATCTGAGTGTTTTTTGTTAGCACAGTTCTGAGTTCTGGACTTCATATCTTCCATTGTGCCACCATTGCTCATCTACTTGACCATTCCTCTCTTTTATATTAAGTCTCTTTTCTCAATGCTAGTAGTGTGTTTCTTTTCACAGGCATTTGTTCACTAGTTGTTCCTTGGAATCTGTTGCAAAAACTCATCTTTGCTATAAGAAACCAAACCATCTTTTTTCCTGTTATATCCTGGATATATAAACGTTCAGATGATGACCTGAAAGCAGGATATAGAATATTGTGCATGCCGTCTGATCTAAGAAACACAAAATTCAGAGATGAATCTCAGTTTTCATGAAATGAGTCTGCTTTAAGTGAGACAGTAGTTGGTTGTGAAAAGATGTGAGTGCTCAGGTGGTCAAACCTGGAGATTGTAGATAATTTGGCTCAGGATGCCTTCCATAATACTATTAGAAGGAGAATCAGTTAGGGAAAACATGAAAATATATGCACATCTGCTTCATTGCCAGTAGCTTCATTGTCATCTCTTGATGCAGAATATGACTTAAAATTCTGAACTGGAGCAAAATGCCAACTCCAGGTCAAAGTTTTGTTTATTTTGCCTTTTAAGATCAGTGTCAAATTCTGCAACAAAACACCCATAGTTTTCTACTCAAAGGTATTATTGGCCCTCAGAGAGCCTAGGAAAGAAAGTGCCTTGAAATACTCACTGCTGTCAAGGTAGATTTGGTAGTGAGCGTAGGATCAGTGTTGTGCTTCTTCCCACAAATAGATCTGAGAGCCTTCCTCACTTCTTTAGATAAGATGATACAGAGGAGAAAGATTAAGGGTCCCTATGGAACAATGAGAGAATAAACAATGAATGACAACCTCATGGCTTCCAAGCTTCATAATGCTTATTTGTTTCTTAGACTTATATCTTGCTCTTCCTTCAAGAGCTCAAAGCAGCTGAGATCTCTATGGAGATCTCTTCACTGTATCTTCTCAATAGCAATGCTGTGAGACAGGTTGTGCTGAGAGAGAGTCCAAAGTCATCATGGCATTTCCATGCTAAAGGGGTTCTTAGAACCCTAGTACTGGTCCAGCAATTTAACCATTGTGTCATGCCGAGTTTCCAAAGTATTATAGTAAGGGAAAGCCAGTAGCCTAATCTGCAGACTTGTTTTCTATTTTCAAACCTACATGGTCTTTGCTATTTTTGTTTCATATATTTCTTCCCACTCATAAGCAGTAATTTTTTTTCTTCTTAAAAATTGAAAAAGGTTGTATTAAATTTTTAAAGATTTGACTGGGCTTCACCAATTTCTACATCAAGAATAATTGCTGCTTTTATTAATAAGACTTGCTCTAGTAGATGTTACCTTGGGAAAATAACAGTAGTTGTAAAAAAGAAAAATGTTTTGCATGTTTCTAAAGTTTTGGTAAAAATCCTATTTTAAATCATTTCCTAATTATTTAGCGAAACAGATCTCTGACCCAGCAGTAAAGTATGAACCTATATGAAATCTATACACATCCAAGTATTTGGAGCAACAAAGGGAAGTTTAAAAAAACCACCCCTATTTCTATATATATAAATGGAAATTAAAATCCTGTTGTTCCATAGGACTCAATCATTTTGAGAGCCAAAGAGCTCAAGAATATAAGGACTGATTTATTTCAAAGGTCTAAAACATGTGGTCCAAATGCTGTGTAAATTCTGTTCATGTTTCCCAGTACACTTATGTTTCCAGAACTCTTTCATCTTTTAAAATATCCCAACCCACTGAAACAACTAGCTCTTCTTCCCTCCCTAATTAGAAAGTGCTTGATGTGCCTGATACAGCCTCATGATCAATAAAATCTGCATGCTCCCTGCTCCAATTGCCAAACAGAGGTCAATCGTACTCAAAAAGCCACATGAAATTCTAAGAATCAATTTTGGCCTGATTCTTCAATTTCTATTACTGTATGAAATTGAGATAAATGAGTTCTTGGAGAAAAGGGAAAATGGTGAAAACAAAATAGAATTGGGGGACTTGATAACAGCTCAATATTATTGAGCAAATGTTGACTGACCTGGGGAGATTCCATACCAATGTGTGCTATTGTGCTATGTCCTGATACCCAAATTACCTGGAAGCAGTTGAAGCCCACAAAGAGATAGTGGAAGAGGATGGCATCACTGTTGATGGACAGCAGAGCCAGCAACCAGGTGACACTCATGATCAGCAGAGAGATGAAGCCCGACCGTAGACCAGAGCTATAGTAGAGAAAGAGCAGTCAGTGGGGGCTCTCCCACACAACAACCCCCAAGTCTCATGGGTAGAATATGAATAAGCTCCTGATTCTCTTGGCTGACTCTGGGGCATGGCCTCCATTGACTTTGTAATACAACCTAGTTTTGCACTTATATAGGACTGATCCCACAATTCCAATAAAAATATTGGAAGCATTGACTATTGGGATACATCAATGCTAAGTCAGAAAATGGAAAGCAGGAGACAGAACGACTTAGTAGGGTGAGATAAGGTGGAGACAATAACAAGGGTGATAAATAAATAAATAACAGAGGAAAGGCACATAGGATCAAAAAAGCAGAAATCACAATGCAGGGACATGGAAGAATAGTTAAATGTTCATAATCGGTGAAAAGAGTAGTTGTGCATAAATGCCAGACTCACACTGTCCCCTTCTTCTCAAAACCTTGCTGTTGAGCCGCGCAAGTGGCCTTGGTGGCCAGGACATAGAGGAAGACACTCATCTATAGAATGAAAGAGGGAAAGGTTTAATACTAAATTTCTCTCTGGCTAATAGTGCATCCTCCCAAACCTGGAATATTTTAAATACTGTTATCAGTCCCTCTTCCTTGGCAGTGCCCTTTCCTGATTCTTGCAAAGATCAGTTCTTTTTCATAAGAGTCTTATAACTAGCACTAGAACTGATGATGTTACCTAGTTAGGGTAATGAGATGTCTGCAAGAAAATAAGCAAGCTCAGAGAACACCAAGGACCCTTCAGTTTTATAACTGAGTTTTATGACAGACTGGGAAACTCATGTAACCCATCATCTGAGGTTCCTGTTGGAGCAAGGGAAGATCTGCAATTCTGGGCAATGCATCTCAGCCTTCCATTGCGTCTTCAGTCAGTTGACCAAGAAGATTGTTTTCCAAGTTATTCAGAGTGTTTCAGATGGAAAAATAAAATGGCAGAACTAGGCAGTCCTTGACACGCTGTATAAATAAAACTAAACCCTTTTGTGAAAGTAATAGTTGCCATGTCCATCTTAAAAAAATATAATGTATATAGTGTGTATAATTTACACTGCAGGTAAACCAGGAATAGTTGTATGGAACCAGACAGCTGTCCTGATAATGTGAAATGTGGGTCTTTTGCCTTTTCTCCCTGTATTCCTTTGCTTCTCTACTCACTGCAACAGCAAAAGCAATGGGACCAGCAAAGCTCCAAATCAGGGTATCATAGATGGAGAGCCAACAAAAGTCTGGGTTCCCATATCCTTCAGGATCCAGGCCCACAGCAAGTCCTAAGGAGAATACCACACAAAACAATCAATAAAGAGGAAACATAAGTCCTTAATTGTTTCATCTACTCCATAGCTAGAAGATTGTCACTTAGACAGCCAGTTCGAATTGAATGAATTGTGACAGAACAGTATTAAGATTTTGGTTGTCATCTTTAAACCCCTGCATGGCATGAGTCCAGACTACTTGAGGAACAGTCTCACCCAGATGGGACTGGTCCACCCCATCCATGCCAGCAGAGGGGGCATACTGTGGATCCCCTCAGCCAAGGAATTTTGGCTGGTGGGATCCAGAAGAGCCTTCCTGCCCTCTGGGACATCCTCCTCCCTGAGGTGAGATTGGCTCCCATCCTCCTGATTTTTTGTAAGAGCCTTAAGACCTGATCCTGCCAGATGGCTCTCCCAATGGGAGACGTTCACATTGGATGTGGTGGACCAATTAAAATCTAATCCTACCTCACCCTCCCCCATGTATCTGGCTTCCTCCTTTGCCATCTTGTGTTCATGATTTATCTGCTTTGTTATTTTATAATTGATTATTTTTATGTTTTTATGTTGTAAGCTGCCCAGAGTCATTGGACATGAGAGGGCCAGCAAATAAATTTCTAAATTTCTAAATAAATAAATAAATAAATAATTTAAACAGCTCAATACACTCCAGCCCTATCTTTAGGCTTGGCCAGTTATATCCTGCTTAAATTGATTCAGTTACCTGATTCAGTTACCTAAGGCTAGCAGAGGAAGGAACCATTTTATTTTAATAAAATAAGCTATTTTCTTTTTAATAAAACAAGGTTCACAAAGAGTATAATGGCCTCAGAATGGCCATGGCTGTATGCCAGATTATCTGAAGTTTAGTGCAGGCCTCACCTGTGATGAATGCTGGCACACCCCATCCGACCATATAATAGAAGCGCATTGGGCCATGGTTGATGTCTCGCACTTCACTCAGCATGCGGTAAATATGCAATGCTTCTAGCAGTGCCCAGGCAAAGGCACACATGTACAGAAAGTGCAACAGGATGGCAATGACGGTACAGGCAAACTATCATGGAAAGGGACAAAAGAGCAGGATTAGAAACCTGTTCCAAAGGTACACAAAACCTGAAATGTAATGAACCATTTCACTGTATATTCGGAATTCAGATAGGATATTTTTCTATCTTTGATTCACATTTCCAGGAGCTCCTGCTATTAATGTAAGGCAGTTTTCTTGGCTTTCAAAGGCACCCAAACAAAGAAGGATGTGCGGATCAGGAGTGAAATCTATTTACCTTCCTTACTGGTTCGGAAGTGCACGCACCATGTGCGCATCACATGCACGTGCAGACCCTCTGCGCATGCGCAAAACCTTCTGTGCATGCACAGAGGGTAAAACTTCCTGGTTAAAACCAGGAAATAACGATACCCGGGCACGTGGGCGGAGTCTCACACCGCCATTGTTACCGGTTCTCTGAACGACTGGCCACAATCGCTACCGGATCACCCGAACCGGTCCAAACTGGGAGCATTTCATCCCTGGTGTGGATGCCAGATAACCCTGTATGGTTTGTTGGGGAGGAGTGGGGTGTCTGACTGTTCATTAGCAATAGATAGTAATTGTTGTATTGATACTTAGTAGATGTGACCATGACTATGAACTTAAATCTTTTTAACAGAGTTTTTTTCTCTCCCACCCATACAGATGCTTACTGGCAGATCAGCCTGGTTGATGCCCAGTAGGAAGACAAGTTCAGAAAAAAATAACGCAATCACTAGGTTCTTGCGGATGCTTTGTTGATTGGATCGCAGAGTTCGCAATCCAGCCAGGAAGAAGAAAGTAAGCAGGAGACTGCCCAGTGTCACAGCAATGGAGATATATGTGATCGTCTTCAGGGGTAGGATCTCACCATTCTGGGAGGAACAGAGAATTTATTAATGGATACCCATGCATCTTATTATTTGGTCTGCCTAAAAGCAAGAGCAATTTGACAGTGGAATCAATTATTTCCCTTTACTAAATGTGTTCAAACAGAGGCTGGATAGCTATTTGTTTTGAGTTCCAACAGTGAGTAGGAGGCGTATTTGATGGCCCAAATAGCTGTTCTCAACCCTATGAGTCTATCATCCTTAAGGAGCCAAAACCTAACTTCTGCTACTAAGTTATGCTCCCTTCAGAATTCTCCCTTGCCCTATTCTCCTTATTCTCCTTAAAGTAGTGTCCTTATTTTTCTCACCTCTCTGCGGGAAATGTCCATCAGCACAGCAAAGCTTGTCATATGATTACACTGGCAGCTGACATGAGTTTCATTCCTGAAGACAACCTCACAGCCTTTAGCTGACCAGCCACCAGTCCCAGTGACCCTGAAAAACAGCAGAGTCAAGATGGCGCTCTCAGCCTGAGGAACCCTGCCCCCCTGTCCCAATATCTATTGTTCCCTCCCTGTTCATTATATGGCTGTCCCAGCCATTTTGTCTGGGAAATAGATCTCACAGGATGGAGTGGTTCCAGAAGACACAAATAGGCTTGGTCCGTTCCTCAGTTTCCAACATCCGAAATTGCACAGTGATGGGTTTCTCAAGGGCACGTTGCATCAATGCATCGTTGTCATGGATGCTGATGCTCACCACTGGAGTGTTGATGATGGGACGCTTGGGGACTCTGTGGTGACAACAGTGCATTTATTTAGTCATACATTCATCCATTTATTCAATTTCTATAGCTGCTCAACTCAGCCAAGTGACTTTAAAATTATAAAACAATTAAAAAGCATTAAAACAGTAAAAACATCCACAAAGTAAGTACAAACAGCAGCCATGATGATTAATCAACTTATAGTACAGCGAAATGGCAGGACCCTAAACACATAAATCAGGGGTGGGTTCTACTTACCTTTACTACCGGTTCGCAGACAAAATTGTGTGCGCGCGCTCACTTTGCGTGTGTGCACCCTGCTGCGCATGCACGGAAGCTACTGCGCATGCGCAGATCGCTGATTATGACATCCGGGGCGGTGGGCGGAGCCTCGTGCCGGTTTTACTACTGGTTCTTGGGAACCGGTCCAAACCGTGGGCAACCCACCACTGACATAAATCAATAAAATGTATTTACTTAAATCACTGTTTCCCTTCTGTAAAGTTGAATTCTGCTTACCATCACACAGACCCTCCCCATTTAGTGCTTTCAGACATTTGCTAGGTCTTCAAAAATAAAATAAAATCTCTTTCAAATCAAGCTTGGGTCTTGGAGATTTAATGATTACATCGATATCCTTCTTTTTTTACCAACACGACAGATGGAGCTTTGCAATTGCTTCAGGGAATATTTTTTCAACTTCCCAGTCTTGGGATTCTCTAGTGGTCCCTCATCCAAGTAAGTACTAGCCAGAATATGCCCTGCTTAGTTTCTAAATCGAGATAAAATCAGCCAGGTAAATAACAACAACCATTTTGTGGATCAGACAGTCATGAAGCTGTTGGAGTTTCAACAACCCTTTCAATAAACAACATGGAGAACCCCAAAGAAGAACTGGAATAATATACAAGCATTGAGTACCTAAACATTTCTACCCTCTCTACTAATACATCCATGCATTGAGGTGCAATGCAGACATTACCTTAGACTCCTTTTATCTGTGTCATACTGCTCTGGAAGCAGACTTGCCAGGTTGCGGTAGATGATCACACTGGCAATCGCCTGGCCCTCACTTAGATCTGGATGTCTCTTCTGTCTTGTCATAAGGGCATGTTCTTCTTCCTCATTGGTGCCTGGCAAATGCTTGGCACTGGCCACAGAAGATTCTGAAAAGTGAACGTGAAACATGGAGCCACATTTTATTTCGCTAGAGCAACAGGCTAAACAAGGTTTTACTAATATTTCTTTCCAATATTTGTAGTCTGCTTGTCTGGGGAAACAAAAAAGAAGCTGACATTTTTCAGGAGATGTGGAGATTTTTCACGAAAAGATTGGACAACAATTTGTTCAAGATAGTATAAGGTCTCCTGCCCTGGGGTTGGACTGGAAGACCGTCAAGGTCCCTTCCTGCCCTAGGACTCTATGTTTATGCCTATGTTTTATTAAATTATTTCAGTAAATAATTAGATCACCATTAAACCATCATGACACATTCCCTATTCCTATAAGACCACCATTTCCCTTCTAACAAGTGATTAGAAGCTTTCTGCATACTAGAGCCATCCCAATTCTCCTGGTTTACGTGTTAGTTGAAACTACAACTTAATTGCTCTTGTCTTGCCCCTTTCTTGCTTGGCCCAACAAATTACTTCTATTAAATTACTTCTTACATCATTCTGATCTACTGGGCTAGTCCTACTATTTTTCTTTTTAGACTGTTTATTTTGATAACAGGGCCCAAAGTTGTCCTTCATGGCAAAGATATCCTCTTCCCATTCCCTCACACATAGAAAATAAAATTCTTTGGAACTGACATGCTGTATAAGAGGAAAGGAAATATTAACAAGACTTCTTTATTTTGATCTCTGTTTTCCATTTCAGCTTCCTATTGGTAGCTTTTTATGAAGATAATAGGTGTTATATTGACAGGATAGTTTTCCCTCTCGTCCGCTGTTTAAGCAGGAAGAATGCTTGAGTGTGATTGGCTGGTTTCCCTGACAGCTCCCTATAAAAGGGTCTGAGAGGCTGGCTGTTGGATTGTAAATAGTTGCTGAATAAAGAGCTGTTGTCTGAAGCCTGTCTCCAGTCTCTTCAATCCACCTATCTAACAATAGGACTTCCTCTTCATGTGCATTTTAGTTTTGATCATGGCATTCAGTACTAATTTGCACTGATCATCCAATGCTTTCCAGGAAACCACGAAGCCTCAAAATAAATCCATTTCTGTTACATAACACACCGCTAATTCATCAAAAAATAAGGTGGTAAGGATAGAATGGATGGGTTTCCATGTTGCACTAAGCCATAATGTAATTTATTTTAGAGTATTGCCAGTTCTGCTGTATTCAGTGAAATTTGGTAAGTACTCTACAGCTTAGCTTACTGAATAAAATCCAGTCACTTAAGAGTTTAGGAAGTGTCATATAATAAGATTTCAGGAAAAGGCCAATTGGTTAAAGAAAAGATCTAATCAGCCCAACCTTGTGCATTCTGACATAGTCAAGGTATTATAAATGATATGTATATGTAATAATGATTCTTCTACTGCTCATGCCCCAGATAAAAGAGCCTGGGCAGTAAAAAAACAAAACAAAACTGGTTGTATTGCCAAAGAGGGATTGTATCAATTGATTGCTCTTCCTCGTCTCTTTTACAATACCAGGAATTTTCACCCCCATGCCCAAAACTCACGTTTGCCTTCTGGAGCCTTGAATACACTTTCAGGCAGAATGACAGTAGTTTCTATGTCGGCTGGTTTCTCACCACGGAGTGTCTCGTAGTGGGGCAGTTTGGCACCAGCAAAGTTCATTTTCTCTAGCCTCACCACCGAAATAACTGCCAATGTAAGACACAGATAGATAAAGACCCACATACACAAGCATGAAGCATCAAGCCAACTGAATGGTAGTGTCCAGTTGGATTTTTTACTTATAACTCTTTCACTCAGACTTGGATGTTCTTGAGTGAGCATTTATGTCCCTTTCTTTTATCTCCACATACTGTCATAAATCCTAACTATACGTCCAGACCAAAGCAACAGACAAACACATTAAGTTTCAAATCATCTCATAATGGCAAAAATTATTTCTAGAATATGCCCACTCATCATCAGTTGGTATAATGAAATATTTTTGCACAAAGCAGGGAAGGACACTCATAATAACTAATAATTTTGTTGTTGTTGCTGCTGCTTAATTACTATGTTAAATAAATTTGTGGAGGAATCACAAAGTTACATTATGTAATGCCACACCAGTATACCCTAGTGATATTCCTGGAGGTGCTGTGTTTGACAGTAAAGCTAACTCGGACTTACAACCCACTTATGCTCATTTAGCCATGCTAATATCATTCTGAATGAGGGGAATCACTGCCCCATATTCTAGACCAGGGCTGTCAAACTCAAGGCCTGGGGACCGGATGTGGGTGCTTAGATCTGGCCCACAGGGCCACCCTGGAAACAGCAAAGGACCGGCCTGCAGTGCCTCTGCCAGTGAAAATGGAGCTTGGGAGCCCCTTTTTGCTGGCAGAGCACTCGGGCCTCCACAGGTGCCCCCGACATGAGTGACATCGAGCTGGCACACCTACCCTGGCCACACCCTCCCCAGCCCCTCAAAGTCAAACACAACTCTTATGCGGCCCTCAATGAAATTGAGTTTGACATCCTTGTTCTAGACAGTAATTAACTAAATAAAATTTAAGAAACCTCATTTCAGCTCCCTATCATTAATTTGCAGGTAATATTCTAGGTGTATCTTGGATTTATTGGACTTTTATGGGGATACTATAAGAAAAGAGCTATTATGCCCGTTTTAAAAACATGATAGTTCAATATCATGTTTGATATTTAGTTAAATAATTAATTTAAATCCTTTTGATAAATAAATTTGTATTTCTACCACAATTTCTTAATCAAAGTAACTTTTAGAGCAAATTATTGTTGATTATTCAAATATAAGGACTTATAGAAACTGATAGCAAGCATCATTTTAAAAGAAATAGCCTCTTACTCCAATTTTACAAGAGAATACCTTTTCCAAGATGGAGCCTGCCACAAAACACACATGGGTGCTTCAGCTGTATATAATCACAAAATACCTCTTTCATTGAATTGATTGGAATCTCATTGTCCAGCTTGGAAACAGCCACTCACTTAACATCTTTCCAGTTTAACCCCAAGACTTCTTGAGGAGAGGAATGGTCCAAGGTACCTACTTGTGGCTTGACCATTAGTGATCCCTCTACCAAAGCACCTGGTTGTGATTCTGAAAGAAGTGCCTCTGCCCTGTATCAATGGGGATGGAAAGATTCCCCTTGTTGGGATTGAGGTGCTGATATGCGAAGTGATATGCATATTGTGCAAGATTGTCCACAACATGCATTATTTGATTCCTTAGAAGATCTGAATGAAGTGACATCAGGAAAGATTGCCTGGATAGCTAAATTGGACATCCAGTTTTGAGGTCACTGCCCTAACCCCATAGAAGTGTTACTATAATTATGGGATATATGAAGTAAGCTTCTCTTCTGTCATGTTTTCATCAAAAACTAAATAATAATAATCAAGTCTTTCATTTATCATTGTTGTTATTCAGATGCAGATTAATCTACTGTAAGTACAGTGGTACCTTGGTATTCATCCTTAAATTGGTCCTGGAAGGAGTGATGAGTACCAAAAATGATGAGTACCAAACAAATTTTTCCCATTAGAAATAATGTAATGAGTCACAAGGCAGCTGAGACCAACAAGTTCTAGCTTGTGCGTTGAGTACAAAACAAATGATGAGTACCGGGGAAAAAAATTCATGTCAAAATGTGTTGAGTATCAAATTTGATGAGTTTCAAAGCAGTTGAGTACCGAGTATCAAGGTATTCAACTGCTTTAAAACTCATCAAATTTGGTTCTCAACACATTTTGACATGAATTTTGAGAACCAACGTACTCAACTGTATAATTATCTAAAATGCATAGAATTGAGCAACTACTATTTTGCTAATTAGGAGACCTTATTATTATTATTCTCTCACCAATGTTGGGTGTGATGATGGTAAATGGGTTCAAGTATGTCTTGCGCATGTTCTGGGCCAGAGTGCTTGCATAGTCCTCAAAGTGCCTGAGCAGCTGTGCTGTGCCACCTTCTGTCTGTTGGATCAGTTCCCAATGATGCTTGTTGCTGTTGTCCAGTAAAGCACTGCCTACCTTAAGCAAATTCTGTAGGACACAAAAAAGAATATGAGACAGCTAGGAGTAGCTTCTGATAACAAATCTAAAGTAACAGCTTGCTTCAAGGGGCAAGACTGGTATCTAGGAAGGCCAAAAAAGTTACAGGAATCAATGGCAAAAGAATATTCATTGCTGGTATTTCTTGCAAGAAACATTTGTTTACAATATGTGTGTGCCTTTTAACAAACCACATTTATTAAGAAAAGAATCTTCACTGGAGAACTAACTTGGGCTTTGGATTCATATAGATTATGCTGTAGCATTTATTTTTATTGATTTTATTTCTATTTAAAACACCTGTAGATAAAATTTTAATCATTTAGGATGAAGCCTAATTTGCCAGTTGTCATTCCTTCCACAATGCTCAACTGAGCTACACAGATCTGTTCCTCCCTTAAGCTATCAGTGAAAGCACCAAATAATTTGCTTCTCTTAAAAGAGGGGTGTCAAATTCGTGGCCCACAGGCCAGATGCGACACGCCCTGGCCACATCTACTCCCGGTTTAGCAAAGAGGGGAAAAGTTGTGATACGTCACGTGACGACAATGTGACGATGCAAGTTTAACACCCCTTTCTTAAGAGGTGCAACAGAATATCTGTCACTTCTCTTCCAATAAGCCATGTAGTGCTCCACATATTCCCATGCTGTAAAGAGTAGACCAAGTGACCAACCTAGTATCATCAGATCAAATCAGCATCTGGTATCATCAAAGAAACCCTGGTTTTCAAACTTGCTTGCTTGCTTAAAAAAGGGTGTGCTGCTCGCAAGAGTTTTTATTTCATATAAACCTAAGCCGATGGGCTTACCTCAGTGAAGTGAACATCCTGGGTAGCAGCCAAGCCAAAGCCTTCTTGGTTGCTTTCATGCTTCAAAAGTTGAGCTAAGAGCTGAAAAGCCACTTTGACATCACTGCCAAAGAAATTCTCGGTGTTTTGTGTAGCGTTGCGAAGCTGGAGAGCTACCCGCTGAGACTGCTCTGTATCCAAAAAGGATTCATTCCGCAGCAATTTTTCTGCCTGTTCCACAGGAAAGATTAAGATATTTTGCAAAGGCGCTTCAACAAAACAAGGTAAATTAACCAAACATAGATTCTACTGGACAATTTTTTTTAGAAGTTTTGCTTTCTGAAATTTTTTTGGTGATGATGATAGACCCCTTCAAATTGAACACAAATATAATTTCAGAATGACTGTATCACATAGGAATCTTGAGAAATATTTTTAATTTCTCTTTTAATTATTATGTTTTTAATTGCATAATATTTCCGACATGCTGCATGAGTTCAACAGGGCTAAAAAAATTGCTGCTGATTTTCATTAGTAGTCAGTGTCTGATGCAACTTGTGGCAATGTCCAAGAGTTGTCAGTCAGCATTGATGGATTCCAGTTGCCCTGGTACCATTTTTCCATTGTGGCAATATCTTGTGAAACCTTTTGCTACGTTCATTATTGATAGGTTTTCAGGATAGAAGCCCAAGTGTGAATGCAGAAAACGAATCTTCAGTGACATGTTGCACTTCATAATCTTATATGTTGTAAGAAACTTGTCAACCAACTGAATGTAGTTTGATGCTCTATAGTTGCCAAGAAAATTCTCAACTACAACCTTGAATGCTTTCCAGATGATTTTCTCTGGCTCTATTAACGGTCATTGGTGATGTATCTGATCTGTAGACCAACAAAAACCTTGGCTAACCGTCCTTAACCTCGGCATCAGTTATTCTTGAAAACATCTTTTGAAATAACAAAAACCCTCACCTTCCTTGTTCATTGCTTTCACATATGCTTTCATTAGTCTGGGTTTTATGTGAAGTGGAGAAAAAAATATATCTGTCAGGTCCATAGGTAGTTTGTGTGCTATGCTTTACTGTCCTGGAATCAAATTAATTTGGAAAGCCATTTCTTTTTAATGTAATGAGACTCTCTTCCACAGCTGTCCCATTCACATAAGTAACAACAGTACTTGGTACATCTGAGCTGCATTCCAAGCAGCAAAGCCAGTACTTTAGATTTCCACAGATATTCCAGGTGTACTGAATGTGCTTCAAACAGTTTTTGAATGTTTCTTTCATCTGTGCAGCATAGCCAACAGGTACTGAAGGATGTACATTGCCATTGTTTAAAAAAATATTTCTATAAAATGGTACATGATACGTTAAATTACAGGCTGTTTTCATGATTAGCAGGCCAAAAATCTATACTCAAAAGTACTCAGGAAGCAAAATCTTTGTCGTTCAGCGTCTTGATAGCTCAATTGCAGCTTTTGTCTTATCACAGCTTTGCTAAGATATAGTCAGAAACTGAACCAAAGCTTATCCTAAGCTACTTCAATCAAAATGCTCTAGTACTGAATGTAATACTCATCACAGAATTTAATACTCTGAAAATCTCTTTCTTCAAGTTATAGTCCCAGAGCTAAAAAAATAACCTGAAAATGTGAGGATTATACCAGCTGAAAGAGCCAGAAATGAAAATGATGGAAATCTTATCAATTACAGGCAGCAACTGACAGTATTTAAAGAAAAGCAACTCGTGAAGAGATAGCTTGTTTAAGCAATCTCCCCACTCTGTGAGGAGGAAAGAAAGGTGGGGGGGGAGGAAAATGGGCCAGGCACAGGACAAGGTATACTAACTGATTATAATGGTAAACATGTGACTGACAGAGAAAGAGAGAGAAACACTGTGAAAGTTGTAAAAGTGTGCCTGGCCACAAAGTTGTTGTTTCTTTTAGCACCAATGTAACTTCAAATGTAACTTTAAACCTTCTAAGAGTCTCTTGGTAGAGAGATGAGTGGCATACATATCTAATGAATAAAAAATGGTTAATGCATGAGGCAGTTGGTAAACTATGTCTCCTTGCACTTCTTCGTTAAAAGACAATTCATATTGCCATTCCATTTATCAATTCAGACAATAAGAGGAAGTGGTCCTGAGAAAGCTGCTGTCCTTCTATTTTTACCATAATACAGGCCTAGTCTCCACAAGTTCCTTGTGAAATATCTTACTAAGAGAGTCAACATCTTCTCCCTGCCTTATAGTCAAGAGATGGTAATTGGAAGGATTGGGGATTCTATGAATGAAACCATAGTTTCATTCATAGTGAGGACAAAGAGCTGTATCGAACAGTCATTGCTTTTGAGAATGTTGGTGAAATAAAAATAAACTATTTGTATTCATTCATACATATAGAAAAGAGTAAATCCATAGATTCCTGGCTTTGCTCTGGACCAGGAAAACGAAAGAAAAATACTTACAAAATCCTTGAGAACAGCAAAAGTCAGTGAGGTACAGTTGAAAAGATTGGGTGCCAGCCAGCCCTTGTGTTCATCACAGTGCCGTACAGCAGTCCCTGTGGAGCAAAAAGAGAGGAGAGGGGATCATTTGTGTGACAATGTGAAAGTTAGCTCATAAAATGCCACAAAATATTAGCTTGCTCAGTTTCCTTCCTTCCTTCCTTCCTTCCTTCCTTCCTTCCTTCCTTCCTTCCTTCCTTCCTTCCCCTTCCCTTCCCTTCCCTTCCTTTCCCTTCCCTTCCCTTCCCTTCCCTTCCCCTTCCTTCCTTCCTTCCTTCCTTCCTTCCTTCCTTCCTTCCTTCCTTCCTGATTGAAACATTTGTTTTTTAAACACATCTCACAGAGAGAAGAATGGGATTGTGCTTGTATTTTCCTTTTAATAATGTGGAATATTACTTTCTGGACACAAATCAGATTGCCATGATGCTAAGAGGAAAATATGGCTGACACAAAATGTGGTCCAAGCAGAGAGAAAAACTCTGCAACATATATTGTAATGTTTACTCCACATCAGAGTTTTTTTTAAAAAAAATGATGAAGGTTAGAAAACCATAGGATGCCTATTTGAGGAAGACTATTTCTTTGGCCACCTATAACAAGTCATAAAGAAAGTATGATAACTAAAGAAGCCTTTATCTGGAAGCATTCAAAGACTATTTAATAATTCAATTGATTACTATATGTACACGACTGCATCCTTAAATATATTTCATTACCTACAGATCCCCGAGGGCAAGGTGCAGCTGCAGGTAAACCAAAGCGGGTGCGTGGCCACCAAATATCAGCTTCAATGGCACGTGGGCAACTATCGTAATTCACTGCAAGAAAAACCGTTAAGGAGTCTGTGTGTAGTAATTTGCTCTATGCAAACTCAGTGCGCTCTTTTCAGTAAGCATGTTTAAAAGGGAAGGTAATCAAGGTTTAATATTTTTACAAATACTTGCTTTGGAAATAAACTGCATACAGAAAACAAAGAGCAAGAATGCACTCTGGTCATATAGAAAACAACACTCCACCTCCAAGTAATCCAATGTGTATGAATCACATGAATCAATGTGATAGTTATATTGTATTATCCCCTTTAATTGCTGGGAGCTGTTTAGTTCAGAAAATTGGTGAGCAAAAGTAAAAGGGCATGATAAAGCACTTTTCTTCAAATCAAGCTTGACTTTGTTTTCTCTTCACTTCATAGACATGTCCATGTAGACCAGAGGTGTGAAACTCAATTTCATTGAAGGCTGCATTAGGGTTGTGTTTGATCTCAGGGGGCCGGAATGGTTATGGCGAGTGGGTGTGGCCTGCTCAATGTCACTCATGTCGGGGGGGTGGCGGTCTGAGCACTCTGCCAGCAGAAAAGGGCTCCCAAGCGGACTCCGCATGCAGCCCTCCCAAGCTCCATTTTCCCTGGTAGATGATTGCAGGCGGCCGTCGCAACCGGAAATGGAGCTCGGGAGCCCATTTTCAGTGGCAGAGGCACCACAGGCCGGTCCCTCACTGTTTCCAGGGTGGCCCCGCAGACCAGATCTAAGCACCCCATGGGCCAGATGCAGCCCGCAGGCCTTGAGTTTGACACCCTTGATGTAGACTTTTTCAGAACTAGCACAAAGGTGGTCTGCGATTGCTTTCTTCCAAGATTTCTTTACCGTCCCCCCCCTCAATCTTGCCTATTGCTAGGGTTTCCTGGTGGCCTACATTCAAATCCCAGTCAACTTTAACCCTACACCATTCTTTGAGATCAGCTAAGGTTGTAATCGCAGTACACAAATTGGATCCAATCCAAAGTGATTCAGCTGTGCTTCCTGCCTAAGGAGTATTTCTAACCTTCACAGCCACTGATGGTAACTTCTGCAAAAGGATTGTCACAGCGGTCACAGCGGCGTCCAATGACACCTGGCTTGCAGGAACACTGCCCAGTCTCAGCTTCACAGGTGCGAGATAATGAGCCGGTATGGTAGCAGTCACAGAGGAAACATGTGGCACTATCTGCTGGACGGTAGTGATTGTCCTGTAGAATCAAATAATATTCAGACATTTTTAAAAATATTGTTAAAACAAATTTTAACTAAGGCTGTTGAACCATTATTTATTTAATTTTTACCTCATCAAACTCCTTAATCTGAAGATGACTCACATAAAATCACAAAATGCATAAAAGCAAACAAATAAACTAACTGGTATAATAAATACCATAATTATTGGTCTGGGAAACAGCAAATCAATAGTTGGAAAAAAGCAAAATACTTTGTATACACAAAGATACCCACATATTTGTTTGGTGTGTCATAACTTTCCTTAGTAAGCAAATTCATTTGTTAAAACCCACGCCAAATGTTTAATAGCCAAGCTATTAAAACAATGAGTAGCAATAAAATATTAATACAGAAACAGAAACCATTTGATCAATCATTCTGCATCCTCTTTGATAATTCAACACCAGATTGTACGTTTCTACCCTTAACTAGATAAATAATCCAAAGCTCACCTTGCAGTGGCATTCTCCATTAGTTTTGTTGCAGTCGGGGTCAAATCCTTTATCAACATCACAGTTGCAGGGGCCACATATAGGATGCCCCCACCATCCCCGCGGACAAGGCTGGGCTAACCTAACAATGAAAACATGAGGCCTATTGTAAGCATCTTTCAAATACAGTAGAAGAGTATAGTAACTTCTTCATTACAAATTATGGTTTTGCCTTTTCTAAGATCTTCATTCCTTTGCACATGAAAACTGTCATAATTTACAAGCTTTCAGTAAAGAGACAATATCTAAAGAGATGTTGGGATGTTTTATTTCGGATTTCCACAAGTTTGCTATATTGATGTGTATGGTAAATCACATTATTTGAAGTAATCTCCTTGGTTGGCATGCACATATATATCAATCACGGTATGTTAATTATGTACAGCATCCACACTGTATATGCAAGCCAATGTCACTGCATTCATGCCTCTCCCATACATGAACGAATGTTACACACTTTTAGGATGACCTTTTATTTGCACATATATACCGAGATGCAAATGCCTAAGATCTCTATTAATAGCTGCAATATGCATCCAGCACTTCCACATTTCAATTCTACAAATACTGAAAAAGTACAAACCCACACTTATGGGCACATCACAACAAATGTAAGTGAACTTTCTCAGACTCACTTGTTCTCGCAGTATGGCCCGAAGTAGCTGTCAGGACACTCACAGGTGTAGCCATGGGATGAGCTGGGTTTGCGGACACAAATGGCTTGATGCTCACAGGGGTTAAAGGTACAGGCATTGGAACAGCTGTCTCCATAGTAACCTGGGCATCACGGGAAGAATTCTGGGTATATCTCTGGCAATAATCTCCAACCTGAGACTAAATGATAGCCTGGCCAAGCAGGAAATTCTGGGATAATCATTCTCCAATCACAACTGAGCTAAAGGCTGCGTGTAGGAGGGGTGGCTTGAAAGATAGAAATGACATGGCACCTATCCTGTCTGATGCAAATGAAGTCCTGCTCTGTTATAGAGAACTTTGTGCTTACTCAACCACCTACTTGTATCTTAACTTTTTAATAAAACAATGAAAACCTGAAACAGGCTAATATTAGATATATGCATGTATATGTACATATATGTATGTAGATATACATATACATATACGTACGTATATGTATATCTACACAATCCCTAGCAAGAATATTGGCTTCTGGCCCAACCTCAGTCTTAAGTATTAAATAATGAAATAAAAATTGTTTATTTCTGGTAGTTATGTTTTGTATAGTATCCTAATCAGGTGCAATGTCTAAATATTACCACTGTGAATTATGTAAATATAGTTCATGTTATTTCAATAATTATGCTAAGATAACAATCTTCATTTTGCTGTATATTAGTTATTTAATTAAGGAAACTGTCAAAAACAAACTACATAGGATTAAAGCAAACAGCACAGAAAGTCCATATATATTGTAAAAATGAACTACCGTAAGAAAAAACAGTCAAAACACAGTAAATTTATAACGTTTCTTTCCATCAAATCAGGATGAATCGGAATAAATTATTGAAACTTTGTATCAGAGTTTTAATAGTACTATTTCAATAGTACTCTGAGTCAGCTATTACACAACTAAAAATAATGCTTTGAGTACAATGCAAATATTATTTACAACAGTTAAGCCCATTACATATCATACATGGCAAATACTTGGTGCCCTCCAGATATGTTGGACTATAGTCACCTAAACCTTAGACAGCATTAGAACTGTTTCAGAGGATTTTTTTAAAAATATATGCATACATTGAATTTATATGGCAGCCCATCTTGTGGTACGCAATCCTAGGCCACCTAAGAACCATAATATGGAGGCTTCTTCACCATTATCATCACACTGTCCCTTCCACTGACCTGGATCACAACTGCATGAATAACTATCCCAATCATCATTGCAGTAGCTATTGAGAGGACAAGGATTGGAGTCACAAGGATCGGGGATACTGCAGCCATGCTCCACATTCACTTTCTCAGCCTGGTTTACATTCAGGGTGACAGCATTGCCTGAGGTGTCTCCCATCCTTACACCCTGGAGGATCCAAGCAAAAAAACCCCAAAAACACAAGGAAGGAGAAGATCAGCTCTTTGATAACATAGATTACTCTTCTGCACATTCATTCTTGCTTCTGATTCTCAGTGAACCTATGAACTCAGTGAACTATGAACTGAGAAATTGAGTGAACACAATTTACAGCCTATTTATACCAACCGCCTTTTAGGAACCCAAAAAGCAAAATGTAAATATCTTTAAATAAATAAGCCAACTATGAGATCTGCAGCCCCTAGATGGTGCTGTATTGCTTAAAAATAAACACAGTTGATACTTGACAGATCTGCACAAATACAGTTTGTTCCAGCATTCATTGAATTTAAGATGCTCAGTCCCCATTCATAAACGGGAAATACGGAGCCAGCATGACTATTAAGTGAAAAAAAAATGCTGTTATAGACTTGTGAATTGTATGCTACAGGTAGTCCTTGATTTACAACAGTTTGTTTAGTGATCGTTCAAAACTGAAAAAGGTGAGTTTTGACCTTCACATTTACAACCATTGCAACATCCCCGTGTCACGTGATCAAAATTCAGATGTTGGCAACTGACTCATTTTTATGACCGTTGCACTCTCTTGGGATCATGTGATAACCTTTTGTGACCTTCTGACAAGCAAAGTCAATGGGGAAACCATATTCACTTACCACCATGTTACTAACTTAACACCTGCAGTAATTCACTTAAACAACTGTGGCAAGAAAAGTCATAAAATGGGGCAAAACTCATTTAACAAATCTCTTTCTTAACAACAGAAATATTGGGTTCAACTGTGGTCGTAAGTCGAGGACTACCTGTATGTGTTGTTGCTCTTGTTTAAGATCTGCATAATATAGACATGACTTAGGACCTAGAAGCATTCCTGCTTCATTCAATTTTCAGCAAAATCAGGCTGGAGGATGAGATTCATCAGTACACAGCTCTGGTTCCTGGAGATTTCCAGACGTAACAGCTTCTAATTTATTAATATGTATAGTTATACTGACACAGACACATACTCCACAACAATCTCTCCCGGTTACGTAATTTCTTAAGGATGTCAGTTACGCTATTTGCTTAAGAGTGATGTGGTCTAATCAATTGGGCCTACCTTTCCTAAAACATATGTCTATATAAAAAGCACCAAAGAAAGAAGAGTTGAAAGAAGTAGTGGAGCCTGCACCTGATGGGTCAATCATGATATGGCCCATTGGCTCAATAACATCCAGAAAGGGGCATCAACAGTAGTGGGTTCCACTTACCTTTGCTACCGATTCGGAACTGTGACCATGCGCACAGCGCTTCAACCACAGAGCATCAGTGATGATGTCTGGGCGGATGGGCCGAGCCTCCCACCACCATCACTACCGGTTCGCCTGAACCAGTGCGAACCAGTAGAAACCCACCACTGGCCATCAAGGCTTGTTCTTCACCCACTCACCTGCATGCAGCCACGGAATCCATGCTGCAGGTTTCCCTTCTCCCCCAGTATAGCACCGATACTCAAATTCCGCATTTTTAGTCCACGAAGTTCACTACTAATATTGGCCATCACCTGGAGGATAGACAGGCAAAGCAAACATCATTTTTCCTTAATTTCTTGATGAGCCCACAGTACTTATTTGTATAATACAGATCAGATGTTATAAATCATCAGGACAGTGGTGAAAACCAAGAAGAGGTGGGCTGGAATAAATTATTAAGATAGCTGTAGCTTAATACTGATGAATTTTATAGAATTAACTAATTATAAATCAAAATCTATAGAAAAAGAGTCTAAGTGTAAGGATAGTCAAAGAGATTAGTGATAAAGTGTATTAGACTACTAGGAATCAATTTAGAGCCATCCCATTTAGAGCCATCCCATAGATAGCTTTAGTTCCCCTGGATTAAATTATGCTACAAGTGTTACATTCAAGCTTTAGGGAATATACAGAATGATGCTTCATAAATGCCAAATGATTCAGCCATTAGTTGACCATTGATATTAATTGAGTTCTAGTGCTCACTGTACCTGGTGCAAACCATAATCAAAAGCCATTATGGCTAACCACTGGGCTTCTGGATTGTCCCAGCTGCTATGCAGCTCCAATTGTAGGTGATGCCAGTCACCATCATTCACTTTCACCTGGTGTAGCCTCAATGCTGAAATTTGGCTGTTGGCTCGGTACACGGTCATCAGCACTGTACCTTCATTTAACTGAGCAAAGAAATAAGAACAGAATGAGTTTAGTTTTGAGCCACGTTTTCACTGCAGAAGGCACTACCCATCTCTGTCTGTCAAATCCCCCCATCTAGAGTCCAGAAAGTACACAGTTCCATACCTGCCCTTAAGAGGTACATGGAGACGATAACTCCCTTTGTGGTTTGCTGCCACTGCAACTGGAATGGGAGGCATCTGGGAGAAAACTAGACCCTTCTCCACATTTTAAAATCCCCCCACCAATCCTCTGAAATGGTGCTCCAGAATATACATATTCTATCAATAAATGTTGGTGGGATATTTTTCAATATGCTAGGAGGCTGCACCTAGTCCATGGGCCACAAGGTGCCCTGTTGTGTTGTAACACAAAGTGGTTTTCTCTAGGCCACTAATCTGCAAGACAATAGTAAAGAGTTGCCCGCTCACCCAAAGAGTTATGGTAGAATGCTGCCCTGCTGCAGCACGGAGGAGGACACCGTTGCTCTGCCTGGTACGAAACATAAGTCCAATATGCCATGGAAGCGTGATGATCAATGCCAAATTACTCCAGATCACCATACTGTTGCCCAAGAAACGCTGAGGACTTGCCATGTCTTCACAGAGAAAAAAGAGGAGTTCAACAAGTGTATAAAATTGTTTGTGTGTGTGTGTGTGTGTGTGTGTGTGTGTGTGTGTTGGACTATTCTTATATACTCATAATATTTTTTAAAACAGTGTTCCTTCAGCATTTTGGGCTTAAAGTGTTCAACAATTCCACCCAAGTTCTAATCAATGATCTGATGATTTAAAAAAAAAATCCTTAAAAAGTAAGTACCATATGGAGAAGCAGGAGAGAATTTTGTATTGTAGTCCTGTATTAGAGTGGGGAGTTTGTGGGGGTCCATTCTTTCTCCCAATTTTCTTGCTGTACAAATGAATATAGGAGGGGCCATACCCACCCCTTGCATAGGTTGGAGATACAAAATGAGTGTGTTTGAACCCATTCCAATAGAAGGGCCTTCTGGTAACTACAATTTCATATTCATATTGTAATCTCTGGCAACTATATAGAATTGGCTTGCCATTGCCTTCTACGGTGTTACATATTTGTACACACATCACAAAAAGAGAGGGAAAACATTTTTTAATATCCTTTTTGTAGTTTTGTTATATAAGATTCCAGAAGAGGTAAAATGGTTTACTCCATTTCTGCTGGATTGCTAAAGCCTACTATATTGGTTTCTTGATTGCTGAAAATGTGAGAACCAATAAACCCACTTTATAATTATCAACTTTTCTAGTCATTAACATGTGGAAGGATGTTGACAAGGAGGTGAGGACCCAATTACAAAAAAATTCCTAGGGGAAATGGATTATGCAGATCCCTTCTAGTCAGGATTCAGACTCAGGCATGGAAAAGAAATGACACTTCTTCCTTAAAAGATGAGCTATTTTGGAAATCTGGATGGGTGGAGTGTACTGTTCTTGGCTCTATTAAGTCTTTCAGTGGCATTCAACAATATAAAGCATAGCACTCTTTTGGAAAAGAAGAAGGGTATGACAGAGAATGAAGTGCCTGGATGGAGTTACTGAAGCAGTCAGCGTGAGTTTAAATGGACTCCGGGAGGACAGGAAGACCTGGAGGAAGGTTGTCCATGGGGTCGCGATGGGTCGGACACGACTTCGCAACTAACAACACACTTTTGGACTGCTTGCAAGGCCTATAGTTTCACTCCTATCTGAGCAAATGGTTTTAGTGGACTACTATAAAGGCATAGTATTCAAACCCTTGGTTGCTCTAATGTGTGGTACCCCTGAGCTTTGTGCTCTCCCTGTATTATTTAACATTTATATGAAAACTTGGGAGAGGTCATCCATTGGCTTAAGTGGGGTGTTACCCACATGTGTTCAACAATCAGTTATATGTCACCCTACATATTCCAAGGAAGTCTTGAACCTGGGCTACTAAACCCTGGATGGAGCAAGACACACTAAGATTAAGCATTAGCTGATGGAGTTGTTTTATGTTAATAACTACTTAGACAGTATAGAAACATTGATTCCAAGGTTTACTTTTAATGGGGTTTAGCTCCCTCCCAAAGAAATGGTTTGTGATTAGGGAACCTTCTGAATTTGTGGTTCCTGTTCAAATAAGAGGCAGAAGCCATGGTCAAAGATTTGAACTTTGCCTAGCTCTGTCTAGTATCCTAGTTATGATCCTACCTGGATCAGAATATCCTTACAATGGAACCACGGTCCCTAATCACCACTTGCATTCTATGCAGAATTGCCTTTAGAGGTGGCTCAGAAGCTGCAACTTCTGAAGTTGCAGAAGATACAGAATGAAGTGGCCAGATTGGTGTCAAGACTACCCAATGCTGCAGAATAATAATAATGCATTGACTGTTATTAAGCTTATAGGTCCAATTTACAAGTGTTAATTATCCCCTGTAAATCTCTACATGGTGTAGCATCAAGATACATTAGGCACTTTCTTGTCAGAATTGATTCTGCCCATCCTGTCCAAATATCAAGAAAGGCTTCTATTAAGAGTACTCTTAATTTCCCTTGTAAAGTGCAGCAATATATATGAGACAACAGCTTTCTTTGTGGTTGCCTCCAGAGTTTGGCTCATGTTTTAAGTGGAGGTATACTTGGCATTTTCCTTTTTCTCCCCCATTCCACAGGGCACTTAAAAAATCATTTCATTCCATTGTGGTGCTGTTCTGATTGAATCTGGGCAAGCATGTTTCTTCTTCTTCTTCTTTTTTCACTCCTTGTTATAACCAACCAGACATATGGGAGCTACCATCCTAAATAAGGGCTTGAACCACTGCTTCTCTACCCCTGCCATTTTTGCTAATTTATATTGGATGATATAACCACTTTAGAAGAAAGAGTATTTAAGAGAATCGTATTCTGCAGCTAAGTAAGTAACAGCTGTTTTGTTAACTTAGATCTCCAGGCATTTGCAAGAATGGATCAGCACATCCTCTCTCTATATATTTTATTGGACTGGAAAGAGAGAGAGAGAGGGAGGGAGGGAGGGAGGGAGGGAGAGGGAGAGGGAGAGGGTGGGAGAGACAGAGAGAGAGGGAGAGGGAGAGAGAAGAGTTTCTAGGACATTAGCATTCCCACCTTTTCTTCTATTTCTTCTAATAATTAGAATAGTATATTTTCTATGGAGCTAGGAAAGGTGTGACTTCCTGATATAGTTCCTGGCAATTAGCACATATGTCATTCCTAAAAAGCACCTTCTTTAGCAGCTTCCATCTTTTACCTTGTTTGCAGTCCTTGCCTCCAAAACCCAGGGGGCATTCACAGGTGAAAGTATTCCACTGGTTGACACAAGTTCCACCATTATGGCATGTGCTGCTATCACAAAAATTCTTCTTGGCAGAACAGCCTGAAAGGAGAATGTAACAATGCACTGGAAGGCTAGTAATAGAAGATTCTCCAGGGATTAGGAAAGTGTTTGCTGAATTTGCTACTGAGTAATGAGGAGCTAAGTCATGAATGAAAGTCATTCCTATGGATGTGTTATATTGCAGACAATGGCTAGGGCCTGCTGTGGTGTTCCCAATAGGTGGTTGTCTGTTTGCCAATTTCCACCCATAGAAACTCCACCATTTGCGTAAACTATCAATTCTCCCCTGAATTCATCATACCAGGCAAAGTTCCATTATTTGCAATGAAGTCAGCCAGGTCTATATCTTGATTATCGATCAGGAAGTCTCTCATGCAACCTATAAAATGCCGGTTCCGTACTGGGAAACTCTCAGGAAGGTCAGGAATGCCACCCAGTAACAAAGGACCTGTCAAATCCAAGGATCTGTAAAGTCAAATTAGAGTTACTCAAGAGAAAAACATGATCAAGGGGGAAAAAAAATCTGCTTGAGAAAGTTGTTCTGACCTAAACAGATACTAAGCTGTCATCAATCACACATTATATTAAAAGAGTAGACATATGACCTCAGAGTCACTATGAATCCAATTTATAGTTAGAGGTTTATAGTAAAAGTTTGAGATTTTAGCAAATCACTATGTATGTAAAAGTGCAGCAGCAGAAATTAGCAGGGAAGACTAAGGAATATATCATCACCATCTCAAATGTCCTGCCCTGAGTATAGTCTTCACTTCTCAGAATTTTCAGCAATAGCCAAATTGATTGGTATTTGGAAGTTGATGTCTGTTCATTCATCCAGAAGGCACTCGGGTTAAGGGAGACTAACATAACAGCCGAATAGTATTTATAAAATAGAAATAATGTATTTTGGAACATACAGTAGTATTAGTTCTCATTATGGTTACAGGTTTATGTACTGTATAGGCATCCATGCAACGTGTCAAATTACTAGCTTCCTATCTCCATGAATACTAGCACATTAAAGCAGATGACCAATAAAATCTATAGTACTTCACATTCTCATATAGGATGAAGTTGAGCCAGGAAAATTAATAAAGTTAATTATAGCCCCACGGCTTATCTTTCTCACAGCCATTTCCCCACTGAATAACTCCTGTAAAGTCAATCTGCTTTCACCCATCTCTATTCCATACTTATGATTACAAGCTCATCAGGTGAACTTAATAGTGCTTGTAAAATTCTCACTTCTTTGTGCCTGATTGTGTCCCTTGAGCTGAACAGGAATAGTTTCCTAGAATAGAGCCAAATTTCAAGGCCACTGAAGTATCACAGTCATCTACTGTCACCACAGCTACTTTCTCATCTGAAGGCCCCTGTGGAATTCCAGACGTCCCCACGACAGGCTGCGAAAAGAAAGCAGAATTCTGTTATAAAACTTCAGGGCAGCCAATTAATGGTTACGACAGAAAATATTGATAGGGAGGCGCAGAATACTGACCAAAACCTACTGAACAATGCAAATACAGCTGCTCCCAAATTAGGATGAATCTAGTAAAAAGGCCCATTTCTAATTTGCACTTTGCATACTCTCTTTGCACCCCTCTACAGTTGACTCCAGATGCACCATCCCCATGATAAATTGGCTTATTTCAAGGTGTTTTTTTTTAATTCCACACTTGTTTGTCTGAACCTGGAGCAAAGTTAACCTTTTTCCTGTGAAATGATAAGGCCTGTGAACAATTTGGTTTTCTACTGACTTTGCTCTTCTTTAACAACACCTGTCAGCTCCTGGCCATAATTAAGTATTTCTCAGCATCCATTTCCTTAACTATTCTAAGAAAGGAATTTAAACAACCCTATCAAACAACTCAATCTAAATCCTTCTGTTCACTTCCTAGTCAATGTCACAATATGAGAAAAAGAAAGCAGCTTTCCTCTGCTTGTATAATTTCTAAAGGAGTTCTTAACACTTGTAGTCAGTTTCACAATCACTGCAAAAAATATCCTGACTAGGTTTTCTGTTTAAATAAACAACATGAGTGGAACTGAAGTGAGCCCTTAGTCTCTCTCCCATCAAACACATGAAAACCCACAAACATACCTGTAGAAGGTATAAACCACAAATCACAACTAGGGTTGGCTCTATTGTGACAAATATCAAGTTGCAAAGATGCCACCATGCTGCCAGTAGCTATGTGTACAATGAAGAGTCTATATCCCCCAAATAGCTGGAAGATACTCTCCCACAAAATGCAATTACAGAAATAGGCAAAGCACCACTGAAAAGGGAGGAGGGGAACCAGATAACAACTTCCTTTAAGTAACCTTATCGCCATAGTTTGCATTATTTTTTCCATTTTTTTCCTTACCAAAACCAAATTCAGAAACAAGGAACATACCCAACTACTGTCTAATGTTAAAATAGGTTGTGCTAGTATTCACCTTAGAAACATCTCCAGTTACATTAAAAGCCCTCAAAGCAATTCACACTATTGTTTTGCAAAATGCCTATTGAACTGTCAGACTATGTAGAACAACTTAAAGGTGTGCATTTTGTCTTATTAAATAAAATCTTGTTATCTAGCATTCTCCCCACTTATACTTTTCATTTTATACACTGCTGGAGGGACAGAATATCTCACAAAGACTCTTGACAAGGTGCCTGTTTAGGAAAATGTGAACAGATAAGCATCTACAAAATCAGGAAAAGAGTAATCATGACTTAACCAGAGGTATCTGGTTTGGAAAACTGGTGAACAAATGAATGTGTCAGATTAAAAATCTATTCGTATTTTTTTTCTTTTTCCTTTCTGAAGACAGTTACTAAAGCATACAGAAAAATTCAAATTAACTCCATTTGCGGCCGTCATTTTGAGAGTTGGAGGTCACTCTTTGTTCTTGCTGTGGATTTTTTTTACTGCTGCTTTTGATCTTTTTTTTCCCCTTCAGATATAAAATGTTGATCTTGCTTATGAGAATACAATCTACATTTCAGATGGTAATTTAATTATATATCTCTTTAAAATATGCTACAAATTCTCAGGCTTCTTTTCAGAAATGCATTTAAAAAAAAAAAACCCTCCACAAGGCATCCGTTTGCCATTTAACTAACACAGTGTGAGCTTTACTTCTGGACTCTCTCTCTCTCTCTCCCCCTTTTGTGTTCATCCATCATGGGGCTGGCCTATCCCCCACATTCCTTGTCCCTTGCACGGGAAACCCATGGGTCACCAGTGGCAGTGTTGTTGTGTGAAGGCCTTGACTACAGTAGCTGAAGAAGGATTCAAAGGCCTGGCTCAGGAAACAGGCCAGTTCCAGACAAAGGGAGTGAAGACAGCTAGGGGGGGTGCCCACAGCAGCAGGTCACAGCACAGCACCAAGGGACTGGCAGGCAGCCCAAATCTTCTCTCTGCCTTTGAGTCACTCCTTCTCTCCAAACATGCAAAGCAAAATGGGAGAGCGGAGAGGGAGGAACTGATCTTAAGCTTCAGAGCACAGCCCCCACACTTCAGCCCCAGGCAGATCCAAGCAAACTCCTCAGAGTTGGAGCTAAGTCTAAATTTGCCTCAGATCAAATACAAGCTGTGGGGTGGCTTTTGCAAATGGCAGGCACATGGCAAAACAGAGACTTCGGTCAAAAAAATCTACAGGAGCAGGATTAGAAGAAGACTGCAGCTGCCGATCTCCCTTTCGTGCAAGCAATTGAAGCAACAGACGCCCCTGCTTTCAAACTCCAGGTACACATACCTATTTTTGGATAGCTGACACTCAGAGACAAGTTCCACAATACAAAAGGCAGCATATGTTTTCCCCTCTGTTTTGCCCAGAGGCAGTTCTTGTTTGCCACAGGTTATTAAACATGAGGCTTTACTTCTCTGGGATAAGATTACAGTATTTTGGAATTACTGTAGCCTGAAAGATTTGTGAGTCTGGTAAACCGAACTTCTCCATTCTGTCATTCAAACATTTTAATTGTATAGTGAGGGGTCCTCAGCTAACCCACTGTGACAAGTGACAAAGGAGGTCTCTCTCTTTTTTCTACAAATCATTATTCCCAACCTCCTCCACATCTGGAGGACATCAGACTGGTGAAAGTGCTTGATATCTGACCACAGAGAAAAAAAAAAACCATGGAAAGTAAAAGCAATCAGAAGATTGCTTTGATTACAGAGGACTCCAGGAAACCCAATAAAAAAAAACAACCCCAAAAATCAGGAGCTATAAGTATGAATTTCAATTTCATACAAACTTTTATTGGGTTGTAGAAATACCAGGTAAACCATGAAAACAAACAATGGCTGCACCATGGCCTTTTAGAGGAGAGCAACTTTTAGTTGCTCCTATTGTTGAGGAATGCAGTTTAACAAATGATAAATGCAAATGTGGGCATTTTAGAAAAACACAGTTATTGCCACAAATGAGTATCTAAACCAAGGATGGGCAACTATAGCACCTTTATGATCTATGGACTTCCTGATCCAGGAATTCTGGGTGTTGAAGTCTATAGGTCGTAAAGGTGCCATACTGTAGTTGCCTACCCCTGTAGGTAGAGGAGGAAAAATTTCTCAGTGTAGGGTTCCTGATGGCTCTGTAGGAAGAAAGTTCCCATTATCATCAAAATAAACGTTCCTGTTCATACATATAGCAGCACCAAGACCACACACACACACACACACACACACACACACACAAGAGTAATCATCGTTAGAATTGTAAGGGGAAATGGCGCATTGGGAGTTCCTTTTTAACCTGCCAAAAAAACAGCCAACTGAAAGTTACTAGAGATGTTTCTTTTTCAGGAGATCTCCAGTCTTTATGAAGCCAAAGTCTTCACAAAATATGTCCAAAGTATGATCATTTGAGCCTGGTCACCTGTGCCTTGAGTTAGAATTCTAGGTTTTGTTTAATTATTTTGTTTAATTATTATTGTACATTTTCTTGGCTAGCCTGGGCATTCTCAGGAGTCTTATCCAATACTGAAGTTAAAAAGCTATTTTTTCTATTTTGCTTCTTCAAAGTCCAACTTTTGCTTCCCTAGAGCACTATAGGGAGACCATTGCCTGCGCAATTCTAGTATTTATAAGTATACAAACATCATGGCATTTGAAAATATTTATTGAATATTGGTTCCTTTACTGTTGATAGCTGAACTCCAAAGGCAAAAACTAACCAATATTTTCATTGTCGATTACATGAACCTGCTGTCATGAGTTTGGTCTTCTGTATTTTTAATCTTAGTCCCATTTTTTTTCCACCATGCACCTTCACTTTCATTATGAGAGCTTGCTGATTCTTTGTCACTTCACTTAACCAGAGTAGCATCACCAGCAGAGCATATGTCATTAATGTTTCTTCCTCTAATTTTAAAACCCTGCTCATCTTCATCCAATCCACCTATCCCCAATATATATTCTCCACATAAATTGAATAAGGGGAGACGATACAGCCTTGTCTCAGTCCTTTGCTAATTAGAGCCAGTGTGTTTTGCCATCTTCTGTCCATACTGTGGTTTTCTGACCTATGTATAGATTTTACATGAATGCAACTATGTATTCAAGGATTCCAATTTTTCTAAACGTATTCCAGATACGTTTAGAAAATAAATGTAACTAACGTTTATTAACTAAAACCAAAACCAATACTTGGATATACGGTATCTTTCAGCTACAAGCCACAACAAAAACAACAGGGACTGGCATATGGACAGCAATATGTTTTCTGCAGATTTGCAAACGGGAGGGGAGCACTTTAGCCAAGCTATAGGGAAGACCTCATAATCTCCTTTAATTTTATTCTAGTAGGATCATACTTTACTGTTTTTTATCCTTCCATAATGTAGTGTTAGTATGCCTTATCTGTCTGTCAGTTCATGAATATTCTGCATTTTAGGTTTAGAAGGGAGTGATTTAGTTTTCTAGCAAAAGTCCCCGAATCCTTCAATTCTTTTCACTGGCTAGAGGAAAACAGGAGTGAATTTTTCTACAGCTCTAGTATTTTTTGTTCCCATAAGTGCGTATATATGCACAGAAACACACACAATCTCTCATTAAATTTTATTAGATGTACCAATAAGCCTCAAGGCAATGCCTAGGAGGACACGGAGCAAATGTACCGAGAGGTGTTCTTTGGATCCACTTACTGACACAAGAGAATAGAGAAACTGAAAGCCAAGGTTAGCCACAGGTATGCAATGAGCTATCGCACTCTTTCTTTATAGGAATCGTTGGTGGAAATAGCACATTTTGCCCTAATTGGAAAGCTTTCTGCTCATTACAAAGAAAGGGGAAAAAGAGCTTCACTTCCTGTGTGTCCTAGCTTCCAAAGCTATGATAAAGAGACAAGGCACCTTCAACAATTAAGCAAGCTCTCACATGTTTGGGCAGAGATTCACAGTGGTTTTTAATAAGCTGTATTTATTGCTCTGAAAGAAACAGCAGGGCTACCTTATTACCACTTGACAGGCATGGCACTGAAACCCAGAGCTTGCTCACTTTATCAAGCACTCCAAATACTGGATGCTTAGCCACTCTTACAAACACTTAAAAGAGCACTTTTGTCAAACCTCTCCCCAGCTTCACCTCTGCCTGCCACAGTGTGCAGGGGAGAAAAACCCAAAACAGTAACTATCCAAAGAACCAACAGTAAAAGCTAACACATCTTGGTTTCCAGCCAGGATAAGCAAAGGATAACATATTTTTAGTTGGTGGGAAGGAGGCCAGGGATAGAGTATCCCTCTATCTCCCATGTAATTTACACCATGACAAATTCCTTGTGTGTCCAATCACACTTGGCCAATAAAAAAAATTCTAATTCTAATTTGTATGAAAGCATTTTTAAAGAAAGTAATATTCTGACAATAGGGTCAGAACTCACAGGACACCTTTAATTCTTACAATGCAAGGTAGGAGGGAGAGTCACAGAATTAGTTCTACAAAAAATCAGGAGGTTATGCAGGTTTGACTTGGTGTAACGAAATATTGTAATGCTTCAGCCCAAGTTATGGAACTCTAGGTCAACACAACATGCTGTTAAGAACTTGTCATTGACAAGCTACCTACAACAACCTATGAAAGCACCTTTGATTCCAGTTTGATTTTTACATTGTAACTTGTCAGGCACCTATCCTTTTAAAACGAAGGTGAAAATTTGGGAGGGGGGAGAAAGAAACCGCTCTATGGCATTAGCTGGAGGCTGGAGGCTATCCTCCCACATTAGTTAGCAAGACCTGTCTGCTGGCGCACAAGCATTGTGCTTGGGTGAAGTACCCACAGGCAATCCAGCTCATCAGTGCTGACACCTGTACAATATTCAGAAATATTCCCAGGAATGGGAGGAACAACACCCATCCCAAATAAAGTGCTCTCAAATTAGAACATGGAGCCAAGCCAGACTCCTCTAAAACTCTTAATTCGTCACAAAAATGTGATTCTGTTTTACTGCCACCTTTGACTTCTGCATTTGATAGAGGAATGAAATAAGCACCGGTCAAACAAGAACAAATGCAGCTCACAACAACAGATGGCTAATTGTGCTGTCTAACATGGTATTTATCTAACACGATGTCAATGCTAAATAAGTGTCAAAGAGTTGTAGGGATTGTCTGATCCCTTTTTTGTGTGTGTAGCAAAAGTCCTTGCCTAACAGGTACTGTATTGATGCAATAGCATAACATTAAGCAAATGAGAGGAATGCCTGTTAACTAGGCTGAATCTTGGCATCAGAATTTTCATTCAAGCTCTGAAAGACTGGAGTCCTGTTATAGCACTATCGTGAAACCATTTACGAGTCTCAGTTCAACATAACATGTATAGCTGAATTAGTTTCTCTGTCCAAACACTACAAAAGCATAATTATTAAAGCTGAATGTTATGAAGTAAGTCAGTGTCATGAAAATCATTCAATAGGATGCTCCAGATCTGTTTTTTTCAAAATGCAACTGTTTAACATTATCTTCTCTAAATGGATTTTGCCTGTCTGATGCGATCATCTAGGAAGTGGATGTTTAAAATCCCAATTTCTCGAGAGGTGCCTGAGACATGGACCTGGAGAACAACCTTATCTGTTTTTCTCCCAACACAATGGAACAACTTGGCCTTAGAGGTATTCTTGCCCTCTAGCTCTCAGCTTAGGCAATGAAAGAAAAGGAAGACCATTCTCTTAAGGGACTTTTAATTCTGAATTTTAATGATGAAATGGGCTGCCAGGTTTAGTACAACCTTATTTTGATTTGGTTTTATTGTGAAAGGTTTGTGGATTTTATGATATTTTATGGAATTTGATACTGCATAACTCCTCAGAATTTTGGGATATGGGAGTATATAAATAATTGCAACAAGCAAATACACAAGGTTGCTTCAAAGCTTTTCCTGAAGTTGTTTCGACAGTTGCCAGGATAACCGGTGAGGTAAAATGCCTGCTGCTTCTCTCCACTAGTGAACTCAGGAGAAATGTCTCCTGGACATGTAAATGCATATTTATAATGCTTTGGGAGAGCCTTGAAGCAACCATGCTGAGCATTTGGGTATCTATGGCACCTTTGTGGCTTCAATATGTAGTTCTACTTCAAACAATTTGCCCAGGGCTTCTCTAAACTGATCTTTCTGGATGCTTTCTCACATCAAGTGGGCTAGTCTGTGATCAAGGTTTTTATATCCTTCAAATGATCTTTAGATTCAGCTCATCACATTCAAGCAGAGGATGAATTGGATCAGCATGATGACTTTTGGACAAATGAATGAAAAATGTACAGAAGCAATGGTAATTCCTTAGGTCCGTGATGGCGAACCTATGGCACGCGTGCCACAGGTCTCTGCCGGCACGTGAGCCCTCGCCCCAGCTGAGCTGTATATACATCCAACAGGAACAAGAAGTGCCTCACAGGAGCAGATAGAGGTAAATCCTAGAGAGGCAGGAAATGCATCACTGAAAAATGGAGATGAATGCTAGAGAGGAATAAAGCTTCATACAAGGCAGACATAACACCTGTAAGCGTAGGCATTCCGGGGGGTGCAGGGGGGAGCACAGGGGGTGTGGTGCGCCCCCCCTGCACCCCTTTTTTGGTCCTAGGGGGCTTCAGGGAGGCCTGCTAGGCCCAAAATGGGGCACGGGGGGGTCACATGCACATGCATGGGGGAGCATGCGCACGGGGGGGATGGTTCACACATGCGCAGGGGGTTGTCGTGCACACATTATATTATGGGTGTGGGCACGCACATGTGCACTGTCGTGCGCACACACACACTTTTGACACAAAAGCACAAAAAGGTTAGCCATCACTGCCCTAGGTCAACAAGGAGACAGCACACAGGAATCTGGCTCAAAAACAATAACTGTGAGAGGGACCTTGGAGTCCTGGTGGATGATGACTTAAACATGAGCCAGCAGTGTGCGGCAGCAGCCAAAAAAGCTAATACAATCCTTGGATGTATAAACACAGCATAGCTTCAAAATAACGTGAAGTATTAGTACCACTTTATAAATCCTTAGTAAGATCACACCTGGAATACTGCATCCAGTTTTGGATATCAGATTAGAAAAAAAGAGACTTTGGAAAAAATGCAAAGAAGAGCAATTAAGATGTTTAAAAGCCTGGAGACAAAAACATATGAAGAACGGTTACAGGATTTGGGTATGGCTAATCTAGAGAAAAGAAAGACAAGGGGTGACATGATAGCAGTATTCCAGTATTTGAGGGGCTGCTACACAGAAGAGGGGGTCAATTTATTTTCCAAAGCACCAGAAGGCAAGACAAGAAACAATGGATGGAAACTAATCAAGAAGAGAAGCAATCTGGAATTAAGGAGACACTTCCTAACAGTGAAGACAATTAACTACTGGAACAGCTTGCCTCCAGACATTGTGGGCGCTTCATCACTGGAGGTTTTTAAGAAAAGCTTGGACCTATCTGAAATGGTATAGGGTCTCCTGCATGAGAAGGCGGCTGGACTAGAAGATCTCCAAGATCCCTTCCAGCTTTATTCTGATTGATTCTGATTGAACTATAGAGCACAGGAGGACTTCTCTATTGCTCCTTTCCCTCCCCCAGATTAGTATCATTCCCTCCATTCCGATCCCACCCACCAGCCATCAATGCCATTCCATTCCCCTGGGCAGCCTTTTCAGGCCCGTGCTTATTAACTGAAGCAGGCTGTGACAATTGCACCAGCTGTTCACCTCTTCTTGCCCCCTGTCAGCATCCTCCTATTTAGCGATTGGCTTCTTGGACTCAATCATGCTGGGACCACCACAGTTTTCTCTCCACTCCCCCCTCCCCGCCATGCTTCTGTGTTTAGAGCACTATGAATACTAATAGCTGGAGATATCCGGCAGTTTATAGGAGATGAACATTTCGAGGCAGCCATCCTGACAATGACTGCACAATCAAAAGCTTATTTTAGTTCTTGAATGTATCATGGGCATGGAAAATATCCTCCTCTTCCCCTATAAGCCACATCTCCAACTACAGATAATGACATGGTACCCGGGGGGATACCAGTGGGAAAATTGGCATAAAATGAGCAGAATACTTCAGAGATCCCAAGACAATTGCTATGCTGGGTACTTCAACACTAGGCCTGTTGCAGTTCAGCACAAAATAATCTTACCTTGTTATAATAGTGCAGGTGGACAGTGTGCCACTGTCCATCGCTCACACCTCCTGGGATGAATGGGGCAACCGTGCTTGTGGTTTCTCCTGAAGGAAAGATGAAACACCACTCAGGTTTTAAAAATAAAGTCTGAGGAGAAAAAGAATAATTTCCCCATCATTTTACAAAGATTCTGAGAAGGGGTGAGGGCATCAGAGTTATAGCATGCTGAGTGAAGGAGAATATTGCTAAAGATTTAGAAAAATAAGGTACAGAAAGTAAAACCTAAAGTGGAATGTTTGTAAGCTAAAACAAATTGACAGATTTACTGGAGAACAATCACACCTGCTGAGAAAGTAAGTTGAACTTGCTCTTGAACGATTTCCAATGCAACAAAATCATGCCGTTCATTGAAACGCCCATTGTAGAGGAGAAGGCCATCCCGTTCCTTAGTGGCAAACCTGCCCAAAAAGAAGAGAAAGCTGAGCCTCATTCCAAGCATCCCAATGCCCATTGCGAGATGCTCATAAGAACTAAAGTGATTTGTAGGATGTGAATTATTCGAATTTTTGTCTGGTCAGAAATCTTGCAATAGCTTCTAATGCCTTATGAAATGAAAAGATGAAAAAAGAGTTTAGAAAACCCCCAGAATGGATTCCCACACAAAGCAACAGAAACTGTATCCCGAACTGTTATCACTGGAGCCCATATGCGTACACACAATTTTCCTCTGAAAACATTCGCACAAAGAGAGAGATCATATATACAACATTCACAAATACAAACCCATCGCATGTGGAATTCACAAAATTTATTACATCGAAATTTTGGAGATATCCTGCCTCAGAGGAACTGTTGGTTGCTGAGTGCCATGGTTTACCTAAGGAAGCACGCTAGATTTAACAAAGGCATTCCTTTGTGATTAGACATGTAGTTCCTTCATACAAAGGAGTGCCCAAAAGGCTGGCTCAGCTGTGAGTCATCCTGGAACTCCCCCCACCACTCCTCCCCTCAACCCTCCATTCATTCATATTGGTTGCATTGTGACTGTATATAAATAATGAGTAAGAGTAAGGAAAAGGACAATAAGCATGAAATAACAATTTCTCCAATGTTGTTGGGAAGGTCTTCAAGTTCTGGAAGCGATCAGCAAGAAGCCAGAGTGGTCATTTCAAATGGTTAATGATGTGCTGGGAATATTATGAGAATTTGATTACTACTCCCAAAATCAAGACTGTGGAGTCACATATTGTTACTGGGCACATAATGACAAGAAGTATCAAGTCTCAGTCATAGTCCTTAAAGGAAATTCTGAGATAGCCCAAGATATATTTATAGTCTTGAGGAAGAGGCAAGAAAGCATGGTGTCCAGGTCAAGTTCAAGAAATGGGACAAGAAGAGTAAGATTTATTTATTTTTTTGTATATTTTTATTTTATTTTTAAATATTCATCAACATCAATACATGAACAGTGTGGCATCTGGGTATTTAACATTAATATAAATAATATATTATAATAAATATAATAAGCATATTGGTATATAAATAACAATAATAACATTAATAATATTTATTACATTAGTCAAACTTTTGTAATCTTAGTGTTAATACACATTTGTATTAAAATATAATCCTTCATTATTTAGTTGTTCAGAGTTTCAATGTGCCATTCTAATGCCAATATTATTTGAGCATACATACTTTTTCCTTGATTTGTTTTATCAGTCATTATTGTCTTTATTGTCTTCTCCTTCTTGTCTTCTTGCCTTATTTGCTGATTTGTCTGTTCTATCTTTTCCTCCATTTTTTCTGTTGTCTCCTCCCTTTCCTGGACATTTTGATCTTTATTCATTGTCCCTTGTAGAATATTTTCCATTTTCCCATCTATGCTATGCATTAGATTCTTTATCTCCCTGTAGTTTTTTGTCACAGTGTCACTGATACTTTGGAACATCAATGCCATTTCTTTTAAAATTCCACTCATTTCCTCTTGGTGGAGTATCTTGTCTTATTTTAATAAGTCTCACTCTTGGTCAATAGGCCAAAAACCACATATGTTTGCTCCTCAGAGAGTACAATAATCATAGTTCTTTATATCCCAGGATTATTCAATCAGTTCCATTTAGATAGTCCAGGAAGCTTTCCAAATATCTCCTTATATTCACTCTATAGGTTTAGTCATATATCTTAACATTCAAAAGTCACTTTACTTAGGTATCTTCCTTGTTCTCACAATTGAACCTCCAGTAGTAATAAAGTTGATAAATATAGAACAGTAGATATCACTGGAGATAAATGTTGTTTATTTCTCTAACAGTAGATATCACCTCCAGATAAATGTTATTTATTTCTCTTATCAAAAATTTTCCCAGACTTGTAGGGGCAAGGTATATTTTCCATTCATCAGTAGGCGGTGCCTTCAGCTTAGGTTTCAGTGTTGTCTCAGATCTCACAAATATTTAATCCAATTTCAATTCCATTTATGGAAGCAAAGTCAGTTATTAAGTAAATAGTTCCAGCACTTTAAAATGCCTTTCCCAAAAACAATGCCTACCCAGTTTAAAAGTCCAATTTTGTATGTTTTAGAAGTTTTTTTTTACTTTTCTCCTCTTAGTTCTTTTCTTTCATGTCTGTTTCTCTCAGTAGTCATTTGCTGCTTTAACAGATAGTTCTGAGAATATCTCTTTTCCTGAATTTTTTTTCTTTTTAGGGTTAGGTTTTAGGTAAAAAAGGAATCATCTCACCCAGTTCCAATGACTGTTCATCTACACCGCTCCTGCACTTTCTTGGTTGCCTTGGCTGTCCCAGCTTCACAGCAGCCATGATGACTGCCTCTTCTCCTTGTCGTGGATGAGAGGGGAAAAGCCCTGGGTCAAGTGGGAGAGATGCAACTCTCCGCAACCTACAAGGTGCCCTTCTTTTCTTTACCACCCCTCCAGGATGGCTTTAGCTCCTTTTGGAGCCCTCCAATGGGGAGAACTTGGCACAGGAGCATGGAGACCTGCTTCTCCCATCCGATCTCGCTGCAACGTCAGCCAGAAGTCCAAGAAGAGTAAGATTTCTGTTAAGTCAAGCTAGAAACCATGATAACAGAAATAGGGATTGGTGGGCAAATTGATCCAAACATATCCAGAAAATAATATAGTTGTTTTGGAAGAAAATCACACCTTCACAGCTTGGGGGAAAGTGCTCAGTATAAATTAAAAGGTTTTGCTAGCTACTGATTAAAGCTCTGGCCAAACAATCTAGAAACTGGATTCTGCTTCATACATCACAACTTAACTTGTAGCCTCACACGTGGCTAGGAGGAGAAAATGCACTGATGGGCTACTTTGGGAAATACAATGGGATGTCCAATTGATTTACAGTACACTAGTGTTTCTAGATGATTTATAATGAAACTTCTACTTTCTTAATGTAATGGTCAGTTTTTCTGACATCAGCAAACACAAAATTCCAAAATGTACATTTAGATGAAAGATTCAGATACTCATTAACTTCCATGTAATTATGAAATCAACCCCCACCAATCTATTTCAACTTTAAGATTGCTGGCATGCCATTTTTAGGTGCCCTCTTTACTCCGTTACTGGTGGTGGAAGATTTTATTTAAAAAAAAAAATTGCAAAAGATTCTCCTTTCCACATTCATGGTCATGTCCGCTTTAACATAACTGCTGGGTCTCCAGAGCAAATTCAGTTGATCATCAGGCACTCAAAGGTTGCTTACTATGATTTAGTCTAAAAAGAAATGGAAATAAATCATCCGAAAACCACTATAATTAGGATGATGTTTTCTTTAATTAACTGTGCACACTGACATATTAATTGTCTATATAGTCATATCACTGGGTGTCTTTTTTCTTTGCTTTCTACAATCTTCTGGTAGAACAAAGAACATCCATTTACTAGTTTCAATCCTTATAGCTTCCTGGCACCAGATCAAAAATGAAATCCGGTAGAAAAAGGAACTCAAAGATCCCAACAAATAAGCTTAGAGGTGTCAAATTATTCCATCTTTTCTTTTCTGATAAATATAACAAGAATTATATCACCTTCTTATCTTCTCTTATATTTCAGGGACATCAATATGCCCACCTATCAACTGTAGTTGAACTGAACTAAATCCACTAAAAATGGATAATTTATAAATTTAGTTGATTATTTCATATAGGCTTTTATCAGAGCATTATTACTTACTGTTACTCATTCCTAAAATGTACCATTTCTAATTGCAAATGGGAAAATAAGACATGAATGCTTCTCGGTATAACAACCAGAATTACCTATGTATAAGGTGGGCCTAAGGTGGGCCTACTATTCTCATTCTCATCTTCTGTATTTATTATGTAGGCTGATTTATATAAAAAAAGAGACTAAAACATCATTCAAATAGGTCAGTTAATATGTTTTGCATCTTAGCTATCAATGATACAGTTTCACACTTGTAAAAATACACACTATTTCTGAGCATGGAAGCCTTTAAAATCTCCCAATGATTTTAAAAACATGCTTGTTAAGTAATAATGAATGTTAAAAATAAGCACCAGCTCAGAACAGTCAGAAAGCACAAACTATACAAATTATATATCTTCATTAATTTCTACCACCTTTGAATTCTACCCATTTTATACATTTCATGATCGGTACTCAGACATTGAAAAAGATACACCATGTTCTCTGCATAAAACTTCTCATCCACACGTTCCTTTAAGATATGAGCTCTTTACTACTGGTTCTGAATGTTTCATTTGCCCTGCACAAATCAACCTTGTGAAGTAGGAAAGGTATACCTACTAATGAAATGTAGAACCCTACTCCTAAATTGCCATTCAGAAAGTTGAAGGGAGGTCAGTTAATATTTGGATTGGCATAGGGAATCTAGAGCTGCTGCCGGTTACCTAAAGCAACTTTTCTTAATATTTAAAAAAAAAACATTATAATTGGATTCAGCCAATTGCCAATTACGAACTTCTGCATGGCTGCAAATTTTTGTTTTATTGTTGCTATTTCAAATACACACTTGTCTATTCTTTAAAAACAACATGCTTCTTTCCCAACATACATGCTTAGAATCAAATGAGCAGAAGCCCATTCTGTTCTTATACCTGCAGATATACTTGGACTCTTAAGTACCTCAGTGGAATATGTGAAATTACACCTGCTCAGCATATTCTATTTTATTAAGGTTGATAAAAGAGTATTTTGTTCTGATCTAACATGTGAAGAATAGAGAGACATTTGTAACACATATAAGGTTGGTTAAAAAAAAGAGAAAAAATATGTGCTTCATAACTGATTATCCAATATTAAAACCATATATGTATATGTATATCCCTAGATGAATTACTATACAGGTAGTCCTCAACGTATGACCACAATTAATCCCCAACTTTATGTTATTGAGACATTTGTTAAGTGAGTTGTGCCCCATTTATGAATTTTCCTGCCACAGTTATTAAGTGAATCACTGCGGTTGTTAAGTTAGTAACACGGTTGTTAAGTGAATCTGGCTTCCCCATTGACTTTGCTTGTCAGAATGTCACAAAAAGCAGATCACATGACCCCAGGACACTCATAAATATGAGTCAATTGCCAAGCATTTGGATTTTGATCAACTGATCATGGGCAGGGGTGAAATCTACTTACTTTCCCTACCGATTCGGAAGTCACATGCGCATGTGAACCCTCTGCGCATGCGCAAACCCTTCTGCGCATGCACAGAGGGTAAAAAACAGGTTACATCCTGGTTAAAACCAGGAAGTAATGACGACCAGGTGGGTGGGTCGCTACCGGTTCTCCGAACCACCCGTCGCCATCACTACCGATTCAGCCAAACCGGTTCAAACTGGTAGCATTTCACCCTGATCATGGGGATGCTTCAACAGTTGTAAGTGTGCAAAATTGCTATAAATCACTTTTTTCAGTGCCACTGTATCTTTGAACGGTCAAATAAATGAACTGTTGAAAGTCGAGGAATAGAATGTTTCTCGAATCAGGCATCAGCCATTTTTGTTTTTGTCTCTTCCCCAAACCAAAGTGTGCTCCCAGATTACCAAGGGGCTGAGTTATTGGAGCAACCCCTTCTGCAGCAGGTGGGGAGTGATACCCCCCCCACACCCCCACATAGAAACCGTGAATGGTAAGCCTGTCAGGGCTGAAAAATATGGTTCCCATCTGAGCAAACCAGATCTTCCTTTCCCTTGTGACCACACACAGAATTGCTCTCCTAGGTAGATTCGTTTTAGACTGTCAGCACTTGGCAGTTTTCCCCCATCCCCCCCACACACATACACAGTCCCAGAGGAAAAAGTGTGTGACAAGTATACAGAGCAGAACTGGAGATCACTGACCCTTCGCCGGGGACAAAAAGGCTTTGGCTGGCTGGCTTCTTTGTGCTAGGCTAACAAAAAGGATGGAATTGGAATAATTATGGGTGGTAAGGCCAGGAAATGGGGAAGGCTCCATAATCTCATCAGAGGAGCTCAAGCAAATAACATCCTTACGACAAATACAGTACTTATATGCCCATTTAGACTGAAAGGACAGAATGAGAAGTGAGATACACAAATCCCAAAAATTTTGCTATGCTTGCTTCTAGTAAAAGTTCCTTTCTAGTTTAACAGTATTGCTAAAACAGAAAGAGGAAGACACTTGATTATTCAACAGGTAGCACAATACGTCTGAAAATGGAACAAAACAGATCCAAGAAATTAAGCAGTCTATATGGTCCAGATGCCTGTGGTAGCTCTCAGCCTCCATATACATAAACACAGACAAATCTAATACAGACAGCAATTGTTGGGAGTGGGGAGATATACAAGTGAACACCATCAGTGTTTACCTATACAACTTCCTGCTGTGCGTAAGAGTCTGGATCAAGCTGATTCCCCTGACACATAATGTCCATATTCAAATCTTTTTAAATTGTCCAAAATAACAGCATGAAAAAAACATGCAGAAGATGAAGCAGAATTTTGTATCAAAACTTTTAAGACAACAATTTTAAACATGTTTAGTAGAAGATGGTTCATCTAGACACAATGGGACATTTTTTTAAACTTATAGAACTTATTTTCAATGAAAGTGAATATATTATCCAAGGAATTATAGTCCATCTAGTTTGGCGTCAAAAAAAGGGGGGATTTCTCCCCCAAAACTTTACTATTTGCAAACATTTAATTCTGTAACATTATATTTGGAAAATTGGTTAAACATTTATACTCTTCTAATATGTTTAAAATATTTTTTCTCAGGACTTCATATTCTAGCTATTTTTTAAAAAAAAATTGAAAATGAAATAGATTTTTTAAAAACAGGGATAGTTACGAGGGTTACCTTGCTGGCTCATAGTACAGAATGTCAGGAAAATTTAAGGAAGGACAAAATAATGTACATATAGGTGCAAAACTATATTGGACTTCTTTTTTTTCCTAAGCCAAGTACTTACGTGAGAACAATGGTGAAATGGAAGCGTTGGCGCAGCCCCTTAAAAGTAAGAAAGGAGTGGCCCGGGAAACTACGGGTATTCATCTGACAGTACGGCTTCTCATAGTCTCCAGAAAGGCAGTCACACTTGAAACCACCCACCAGCAGGTTGACACAGGTGCCACCATTCTTGCAGACACCAGGGGTACAGCGGCCCAACCGGGAATTCACTTCACAGTTCTCTCCTGTAGCAGAAGCAAAGAATATCGATCAACAAACATATATATTCTCCACCTACCTTCTCCATAATTCTCAAAATTAGTTAAGACTCAAAGCTACTCCAAACCCAATTGAATTTCTTCCCACAAATCCATCTTCCCACAAATCCATCTGAAGCAAAGCACTTGGATTTGGTGGTATAACTAACTATATATACTACTAGTAGTATTTATACCATTTATAGGCTACATAACTCCTGATTGTGAATGGATTACAAATTAAAAGTAAAAAAAATACAAAACACAAAAGGAAATCATGAGAGGCTCTCAAAACAACATACAGTATAACCACACACATATCATCCAGCAGGGGCTCAACCTTCACTCTATCCACCTCCTGGAAGAATAGCTCATCTTCCTGAACGTCATCAGAGTGGGAGCCATCTGGATGTCTGAATGAGTATCATTCCAAAAGCCACCCACACTTTCTGATTCCCACATGATGATACTGCTTAATCAATAGGACATGGAGCAGACCCACTCTCCCTGATCACACTGGGTAGGCAAAAACAACCAAAGATAAGTGGTCCCTCGAAGAAAAAAAAGGCTCTATGCCATGAATAATTTTATAGATGATAACCAGCACCTTGAATTGCTCCCAGAAGCCAACTGGTAACCAGTGCAGCTCAGAGAACAGTGTGATCATGCAGAAATAATGAAGCATGCCCCACACTGTCCAGATTGTTGCATTCTGGACTTCCAAGTGCTCTTTAAGAACAGTCCTAAGTAGAGCACATTACAGTAATCTATTTGTGAGGTGACTAGTGTGTGAGTGGCTGCCTGAAAGCCTTCAGGTTCAGGAAAAGTTGCCAGTGGCACATTGGGTACACCTGTGCAAAGATCCACTTGGCCACAGCTACCACCTCCTCTTTGAACAGAACCTGTCAGTTGCAGTATAAACAAGTTATGCAATCCCACCCAAGATCAATAATGGAACATCCTCAGACCTAGATGATCCAAATATTTGCAGCTACTCAGTCTTGTCAAGATTGAGCCCGAATCTGTTCCTCCTCATCTAGACATGCAGAGGGTCTAGACACTGGAACATGACTTCAACAGCATCATTTAGTCAATCTGGGAATGAGATGTATGATTGGATGTCATCATTGTTATGATAATACGTGACCCAAAGGTCCTCCATGTATATGTTAAACAGAAAGGGTAAGAATTTTGACCCTTGTGGTTCCCCATAAGTAGAAGACTGTAGGCTTCATCTCTCCTCCATGTTAACATCTGGAATCAGCCACAAAGAAAGAAGAAACACTGCAAAATGGTGCTCCCTCCAAAAAAAACTTGCAGCCAGTGCAGAAGGATATGATGATTAAAATTATTAAAGACATCAAGGAACACAAAGAAAAATGCAGTAGCCTCATCCTGGCTCTACCACAGGTCATCAAAAAGAACACCTGATGTGATCCAGCCTGAAAACCAATTGAAATGGGTTCAGATAAACCATCTTCTCAAAGATTATTGCTAAAGCCCAATCACCTTCTCCACAACCTTTCCTTAAAAGGGATGGTTGGAGACTGGATGAAATTTGTCTAGAATCTTTGGAATCATAAGTAGCATATTGAGGACACCCCACAGTCTCCTTTAAGGCTAAGGGCACAACTTTCTTCCTCAAAGAAGCAGATGTCAACAATATGGACTCAATAACTACTATCTCCCCACTTTTCAAAGCCAAGGGAAAATATTTTATTTTCCCAAGACTCTTAAAACCTAGTTTTATGCTAGTTCAGCTGTTCTTTTCTATTTCCTGTTTTGATACTGTTGCAGGACTGATCTTTCTCATTTGTGAGACTACAGAAATTAATTTAATTTAAGGTGCCTGATATATGAAATATATGAACACTCAAACACTCCTATGATATTAAGCAATGGCCCTTTTTAAAATGATGTCCAAGTTCTTAAGATCTATAACATAACCCTGAAAATTAGCAGTGCAATATCAGTTTCCATTTTGTTCTCAGATACCAGTTGTAGGTAAGTAGTGGCTGGGATTTCCCACCAATTAAAGCAGAAAATAAAGCAGAAGATAAATAGTCAAATAAGTTATCATTTTAGCACTAAAACACAAGCGCAATCTCAGAAAGTCTCTGGTCATATCGTATAAACCATTTGCATGTTTGTGCAAGCTGAATTAAAACTTGATTAGAAAGCCTAGCCCTAACAAGTCTGATTCTCCAGAGTTTACTCTTCAATTTGCTTTTGTGAAAAATCTGCCTAATCAAAAGGTTTAATGTCAAATGTCTTTGATATATTCTATCAATATGCATGCAGCTGCTTTTGTTAATAATGGAAACTGCTTAACAATGGGATGTCTTCAACAAAATGATGTTCACTTGCAAAGCATGTGTTATAAACAAGCAAATCTGTTCCCTGTATTATTAGCAATCTGAAGGAGTGATTTATTACTTTAACTCTATCCGTTGTTCATTTCTCAATTTGCAGAGCAAATGGGTAGCTTGTAGAGTTGAAAAAGCAGGATCTGATAATGTAGAAAAGCTGCATTTGCCAGGAATAGCCTTTGATGGATACAAATAAACTAAGCTGATAATTTGATACCACTTTTTCTCAAAAGTTTGTATACTGAATGCTCTTGTATTGGAAGCAAAGAAGACTCAAGTTCTGATTTAAAAACTTTTGCATTCATTTGTTGTAAATTTCAAGTAACCAAAACTGAGATTTGTCTAAAATAAATAGTTGAAACCCAAACATGTTTTTCTCCCCACCAGCTTTTTCTTTTACACCCTTCCTTTCAGCCTTATTTTCATATTTTCTTGTTTATTTTTCATTACCTTCAAAAACTTCTTCTGAATCCTAAACCAGATTGCCAACATTAGCTTCCCTCTTCTCTCATTTTTGTTTTAATTACTGGGTTCAGACAACAGTTTCATTAAGATAGATTGGAAGCTAACTAGCTTAGCCACATGACCTATTTTACACAAACATCCTTCTATTTGAATGCTCCAGAATCCAGACTTTTAACTATCATTATTCCAAACCAAGGGAGCCTGGCATGTTATGGTCCCTGGGGTTGCAAAGAGTTGAACACAACTTAGTGACTGAACAACAACAACAACAACAACAAATTCCCAACCAATACAGTCAATAGCTGGAGCTACATCTCCTGATACATCTTGAGCATGTCAAAATCTGTCCCTAATCTGTTCTTTCAGATTTTTTAAAAGGTAAATAGGTCTATCTATCTTGCAACTGGTTATCTTTTTCTTCTCTTTTCTTTTATCTTCTACCTTGGAGCCTTTTCTTGGAATCTAGATGTTCCCTTAACATGTCTCAAGTAGGATAATTTGAGCCTAATCATTTGTGCTTCAATGCTTCTCTTTAGCAATATAAAATTGGCTATTTTGATCTCAGGGACATATTTGCATAGAATCCTGCAGAGTTATATACTTTAGATTGAATCTACACATTTACACTTGGCAGTAGTGGTGAGTGGTCCAAACTTGAGATTTTTAAGAAGATATTGGACAACCATTTGTTTGAAATGGTATAGGATTTCCTGCTTGAACAGGGGGTAGGACTAGAAGACCTCCAAGGTCCCTTGCAACTCTATTATTTTGTATTTGCATGCAAAGGTCTGAAGTCTTAGTGCTATTTCAAGAGGGGTTCCCAAAAGAATTGTGTTAAATTATGATCCAAGAAAACCTCATAAAGATTTTCAAGATGCTTTGTCCTAAGCAACTGCAAGCCAAACTAAATGCATGTATCCAATTCTCTGCCAATACCTCAAAAACTCAGATTGGAAGTTTTCAACAGTTCAGATTTCAAGAGGAAAAGCAAGTCAATCCAGCCAGAATAATAATATAATGTATTAGGGGAGACTTGGTCCTAATCATCTGAGCAACATTATGGGTTCTATCCCAACAATATAATTTTGATTTTTAATAACTGTATCATTTTTAAAAATAATAATAAAAATATATTTTTTTGCAAGTTGCAATTTTTTTCATTAGAACAAATTCTAAGTAAATGAGTTTCCTCTTTTGTAACTGATCTTCCTTTCTCTTCTTTCTCTTATTAAAATCCAGCTACATGGTTGTGGCAAAACATGTTAAAAACCTTACCGCAGATTCATACATCGATGTAAATCTCCAAGTACTCAAAGATTAAGGTTACTTTTAAAAAAATCAACCTGGACAACTAAAATGGTGTGAATGCAGCACTAATCATTATGAATAGCATGATTTGGTGGCAGACAGAAAAGGGTCCAGCTTTATTACATATCAAAGCTCCGAAAGTTAAGAGACAAATTCTACTTTTTGAAGAAGCTCTATACTTCAAAATGGATGGAACAAAAACCTAATGTTTTACTGCATCTGAATGTATAAAAAGGTATGTTACGCTTTTAAAAATTGACTAGTTAGCTCTCATAACATGACTATAGGTGTAGTAAGACCAATAGGGCTGTGTAATGCTTCAGATCTGATCTGGAAAAGGTACTAATGTAGAATAACTGCCCGATGTATTAGAGCCATTGGAGGGAGTCTTCTACAGCAGCCATTTGACCTTAGAAACCGTTGTGGGTGCTTTAATCATTCACAGACAGCTTGTTTACACTCCTGTACATTCTGAAACGGTTTTTCCTGAATCATTCTCAAATAACTGCATAACACTAATAATCAGAGACCTGAAATTTGAACATCTTTTGTTATTGAATTGAATTGAATAAAATGCTTTATTTGGCCAAGTGTGATTAGATACACAAGGAATTTGTCTGTGGTACAGAAGCACTCAGTGTACTTGCAAGGCAACAGAGAAAATAATAATAATAATAATAATAATAGTAATAAATACCATTTGCCTGCAAGCAAGAACTGCTGGGACCATAAAATAGAGAAAGTAATAGAAAATGAAGAAGCTAAAGTGGCCTGGGACTTTAGAATTCAAACAGAAAGGCGTCTGCCGCATAACACACCAGATTTAACAACTGCCAATAAGAAAGA